TGATATACTTAAAATTAAAACTGATGATAAAACAAAAGAAATATATTTAGTGCCTGAAAATAATAATTTGGCAGAATTATTATTCCAGTTGTTGAATATTGGATATGAACCCAGAATTAAATACACAGGTATTATTGATGAAATAAGATTAAGATTGAACAAGATAACATATATATCATAAAAGCTCAAAATTTAATTAAATCTTCCGGCGATGGATGGATTGCTGTTAGCAATGAAACTACATACAACAATATGAACAAAGCAATGTTTAATTTCAATAAATCCTTATTCATGTCATCACATAAATCCTTTTATAACGACATTGATATTACAATATTAAATGAAACAAGAAGTATAGCACCTTCGGGGTTATTATTGAGAAATATTAATTTTAGTTTATAAAACAGAAATAGATGTAAATAAAACATTTACTAAAGGTTTTTTAAATATTAGGGAAATACCAGTATTTAACCAGTTTGACCATTGGCAAAAATACAACGATGTATTTAAAATAGATAAACTCCATGAATTAACTTTATATTATGTTGAAACTATAGATACAAATGTAAGACCATTAAAAACAACAATGGACAGCATTAAGGAACTAATAGAGAAAAAACAACACACCAAGCAGATGATATATTCTATTGCATATAGTAAAGGTATTGACGTTGTTACTTATATAGAATTTCGTAAAACACATGATTTAAGTTTGTTTTTAAATCCCGATGAATTAAAACAAGCAATTAGAAACATTGTAATAAGTGGCAATCACAACTTATTTTTCAACAAAAAATATAATCTAGTATATGGCAAGTTTTTGAAGGAATTCATCAATGAGAATAAGACACACAAGATCAATATTTTATATTATAAACAACCTTCATTTATTCATAAGGCTGAATATACAAATATTATTAATGAACTGTTACAAACAAATATTGATGAACATGACGAAGCATTAGATAAACTAATTAAAAAGTTAATAGCAAATGTAAATTTTGGATTATTAGAAAAGGGAGGTGCTACAGCACATCAAAGTATTTTATTCAAAAACACTGATGAAGCAGTCCATTATCAAACAGAATACGGAGGTAAAATTAATAAGTTATCGCATATTGTAAGGGAATGTCCCGAAACAGTAACCGAATATGACGACGAAGGAGGTGCAACCACAACATATTATGGATTTGATGAGGATGAATGGGATGTAAAGGCATCATATTATATATTGAATTTGAAGGATAAGGCAGTATTAAGAAACGGATATAGATATATTAAAGAACTACTTTTACAACATCACAATTTTAAAACGAACCAAGACTTTAAGACACTAATAACTAATAATATAAATGTATATAGTGTAAAAACAGATGCTTTTGTAATTGATACATGCAATGAAGAAAAAACAAAGCAATTATTTGAATTTCATGATGATATAGGAGGTTGGAAAGTTTCAAAGCAGAGAGATGAAATTAATTTACCTACAGTAAAATTTAACGTTGTAAATAATGAACTAATAAAAATACCAGTTTATGAAAGTAAAACTATTGATATTGTAGATGAGTATGACACTGATAACATTATAGAGATTGTTAAACAGAATAACCCTATTATGATTCAAGGCAAACTACCGGGCACAGGAAAATCATATATATGTCAAAAAATGGTTGATAACAATTATAAGGTAATTTTCATTTGTCCTTCTAATAAACTATTACAGGCATTTGAAGGTGAAGCAATGACTATAAATAAGTTTTTTGGAATAAACTACGGCGATGCAAAATTAGAACCATTTGATTTTACAGATTTTGATGTGATAGTATTTGACGAAATTTATTTTAGTAATTTGAATACATACTGGAGAATAAAACAATTTGTAGAGCAAAATAAACACAACAAAATTATAATAGCAACAGGAGACACCAAGCAATTAACACCAGTGCAAGAAATAACAAATACTCAAGACTATGAATTATACACTGACAATATTATAGATAGCATTTTTGAATATAATATTTTGTTAAAAGAATGTAAGCGACTTAACACACAGGAAGATAACGATAAACTAAGAAATATTAAAATTGATTTTTTTTATTAATAAACTACCAATTAAAACTATTATTAAAAATATTTTAAATACACCACAGACATAAGTAGTTCCAAAAACAACATAGCACTTTTGAATACAACTTGTAAAAATGTATCAAATGGAAAATGGAAAAGTTGAATATGAAGTAGGATAATTTTTAATTTGTAGAGAATATACTAAAACTAAAACATCAGTTTTTAATGTAAATTTCAATTGTAAAATAGTTCATATTGGAAGTGATGGAATATTTACATTAAAAAATGTCAAAACCGAAATTTTACAATCCGTAGAAGTTGCTAACATAAGAAGCAATTTTATATTTGCTTCTTGCTCTACATGTCATTCTGCTCAAGGTAGTAGCATTGATGACACCATAACAATTTTTGATTATAATCATTTTTTGGTAAAGAGTTATCCAGAATGGATTTTCACAGCGGTAACACGTGCTCGTGATCTAAACAAAGTCAAATTTTATAAATATACAAAAGATGTTGATGATGTATTTAATCAAAAATGTATTATGAGTTATTTTGAAAGGACAATTTTGAATTACAAGGAACAAGACAGGAAAGCAAAAAGAAGCATACCTAGAGAAGGGTATGTAAATACTCAATGGTTCTTAGATAATATAAATAATCAATGTAATTACTGCGGATGTGGTTTTACTATTGATATGAAAAATGGTAATATCATTACAAATCTAACAGCACAACGAAAAGATAATGAATTAACTCATACAATAGAAAATATCATCCCATTTTGTAAATTATGTAATTGTAGTTGTAAATGATGATAATTTTTAATTTAATTATGATACTATAATTTTAATTTCAATTTATTAATTTAATTTTAATTTAAAATTAAAGTTCTTGTAAAAAGTATTTAAAGAAATATTTTATAATATTGTTATATAGTGTGATGAGTGATACAGTCCGTGATGATATTGATGCTAAACATATATTGAAAACAAAGTTTATGAGTTATAAATGTGAAGACTGTGAGATGCTAAAATTACCAATTGAACGGGGTTTTACAAATGGCGTTTGTAATAATATTTGTCAATACATGATATGCAATAATTGCAATAGAATTATAAACACAATTGATGATATGAATAACAAAGATATTGATATTATACATAATGAAACTCTTGATGATGATTTAGAAATATTTGTGTTTATTGAAATTAATAATTTCTTAACTATAGAAGAGGTTGGTAATTTATTAGAATGTGACGACGAAGGATATAATAATGAATTTATTTTTAAGTATTATAGTATGGTAAAAATAGTATACAATATGTCTTTTAATATTAAACGTTTAAAATATGATGTATTGATCGATAATGACTTTGTTTTTTCAATTGAGTTTTTTTAAATTATGAGTACAGAATTGACGAACTTAGATATACAATAACACATGCAATTGGCATAGTGGGAATGTTTAGAAAAATAGGAAATAATATTTATAATGAACCAACGTGTGAAGAATGGCGCCCCCTCAAAAACGAATGAACCAGACCTTGCCCATAATATTTCTACAAAATTTGTGATAAAATTTATTGTAAAATAATTTATCATAATTTTTGGAATACTATTTTTGAAGTTTTTGTAAAATTAGATTTTGTAAAATTATATTTTGTTTTTTGAAAATTTATTATATATTTTTAATTTAATTTTTAAGATTTTGCAAAATTTATTCTTTAAGATTTATATTTTAAAATATGGATGAACTTACTAGACAATTACCTGCTTTAAAATGTTGATTTTTGAAAATGTGCTGTTTGAGGTGCTGTTTTAAAAAGTTGCTAAAAGTGTGGGGGGGCTAGGATTTGTATTAAAAAAAATGGGCAAGGTCTGGTCTAACTAACTCTAAGGACCTGAAAGAGCCAGATTTTTCACCCCCCCCTCAAACAATAGCCCAGTCAATCCTTGTACCAATATGCTTCCATTTGCTTAATAATATTGTTTTTCCCACTTGTTGGTTTTAAGAGGAATTTATCACTACTGGACTGTTTTGTGTCTTTTTTTCCTGGGGTCTTAACCAAATGGAGGTATAGCAGCTAACCCTTCGATCTAGTTCCCCTTTGGTTTTTGAAGGGTGGCTCCCGCCCTTGGCTCCCTATGAGGTACCTGGATCAGACAAATCCCACAACATGGAAATAGACACCAACCCATGTTTATGGAATGGCTGGACTTGTGAAGTTACCCTCAAACTGCCCTTACAAAAGGGGATTTTTAAGGGAATGGTAAAGGGATCTTTTTGGTAAGGGTAGTTTTAGAGTTCAATGGATCCACTGGGCGAGGCATTGAGTCAGAAATCTAGGGTACCTTTCCCATTCCAAACCCAGGGATCCAAATTCTAGAAAACCTCCCGAAACCCAGTTGGAAAACGGCGATCGGTTTTGGCCAAGAAGGATGGTTGCAAAGAATGGTTGGAATCAACCCCTAGAATTGTTAAAGGGTCAGAAGGGAGACTCCAGCAGGGCCGTAAACAGATACATTTTGCAACCATTTGAAACATGTTGCTTTTTCAACACCAAAATAAAGAAATGGAATCCACCCCTAGACTGTTGTCCTTTTTGTTGGGAAGGGTCCCCTTGAAAGTCAACCGAACAAGTTGATGACTTTTTGCCCCACGGAATTCCACTGGGCATCAGGGAGAATTAACCATCCAATTTTGGGAGTTAAACGGGAAATCAGTGGATCCAATTCTGCCTGGAGTCTCCATGACCCTTTGAAAATGGTTGGTCATTACCCAAGATAATGGGGTCATGGACCCATTTTTATTTCGGGTCATGGAGACTCCAGGTAGGGCAAAAAGGAAGACGAGTGGATCCACGCGAGGCGTTGGGCGTTGAGTCAGAAAGGCGAAGCCTTTCGATTGCTGCGACGCTTCCCACGGCTAGGAGATCGGCGCCTGCGACCCGCTGCTCTTCTGGGATCCCATTGGTGGCTTGGCGCCAGAAGGCCAAGAGTTCAAGAGCCCTTCCATAAGAGCCACAATCAAAACCCGGGTAGATGAAGGTTAGTAAGGGACGATCCCAACCGCAAATAGCTGCGGATATCCGCCTTCCTAATCCTGTACATGGTTCTGGGTAGACCATTTTAGTTCCAGGTTTTGATTGCGACTCATAAGCCCAGGAACACTCCTCAAGAAGGACTAAAGGGGTGAATAAGGGAGTTACCCCCCCCCCCCTTCCATAGCCCTTAGAATTGTTTGGTCATCTAGGTCCCCAGTAGTGCCCTTTGACCGTTTCTTTATTGGGGGGAGGGTTCTAGACTACAGAAGAAGGGTACCCTTATTGGAGGACCTAGGTGTTTTCTTCCTTTCGAAAGCAACATCTCGTTCGGTTTGAAAGGGAATCGATTTCACTGCTGGACATATGGTTCTGTTTTTGCCAGTGGGCTTCGTGGAAGAGCCAGTTTTCCCAAAGTGGATCCCAGTTGCGTTTAGCACATATAATATACCTGGAGTCTCCATGACCCTTTAAACAGGGGGTCATTACCCAAAATAATTGGATCATGGACCCATTTTTAAATTTCGGTCAGAAGGAGACTCCAGGTAGTCTGCTTTTCTATTTCGAGCTTTTTCACCGATTCGGGGATCCCGTACGAGCTGATAGAGGCCCTTCACGGGATCCCGAAGATATCCGTCAGCTTTTCATTTTCTTTCGCGCAAAAAGGTGTTTTTAGTAGTAGGTAAGCCTTCACCAATACCAACCAAACATGGTTGTTGTTGGGAAGCACTTCTTGCAATTTGTTTTTGCTTATGGTGGTTTAGTGGTTGAAATCAAAATCCACTTAAAGTGCTATTTTTCCAATTTTTGCCTTCCTTTCAACGTCAACCAAGCAAAGGGGGGGGGTTCCCGAAATCCGTTCTTGAGAAACTTCAGTTTTTAGATCATGATCACCCAGCGGATCCCAAGCACATGTGGGCAACCCTGCGCTAATTCCAACCAAAAGGGGGGGGTTCCCGAAATCCGTTTTGAGGAACTCCAACAAGTGTTTAAGTCATGATCATGACAGGCCCAGTGGATCTCAGGCAAGCACGTAGAGTAGGTAACCTTCGCCATTTTCTCTTGGTTTGTTTTTCTCGGGTGGTTTCCCACTAAAAGCCCGCCTATGCCAGGTAAATGGATCTGAAAACTCCGAAGATGGTTTCCATTTGGGTACCTAATATATCAGGTATCCCTTGGTGGCGTTTGGATTTGTTTGAATTTGGATTATCCGGCTTGGGTAAACGGGAAACACAATAAAACAACACCGCCCCGGAAGCTGACACAACCTGTTTTTAGTTTCTTTAAGTTGTTTTTTTAATCCCTCCCCTGTCGTTGGCAAGTGTTTGAGTGGTTGGTTGTTTGGTTCTGTTCATCTTTAGTAGGGAGCTGCAAAAGACAGTCAGTGTGTTGCTAAACCATACCAAGGTTTGTGAAGTTTGGGGGTCCAAAAAACCGCTGGCGTCGAGCCAAACCTGATCACCGAGACCTTCAGACAATGTCAAGGGTCTCATGGACACAGTGATCAATGTTTGTTTCAGGGTTCCGCTTTTTGACTACCCCAACGCAGACGTTTTGGGGGAAATCAACCACCCCTGCGCTTAAGTCCATCTTGGGGTAGCAACAAAAGGTGGACTCTTTGTTTTTTGTCCTGGGTGCAAGTTGCCTGGCAAAACCGCACACTCTTGGAGTCATGGAGTGCTGGACTTCGGAAGTGGTATCTCTCGGGGATGCGTCCAAGAAAATCAACACATAGAACTCTGGTTGTAGTAGTTCCATGGTGAAATCAACCACTGGGTTCAAGCCGACCTTGGGCTAAAACACTTTTTTTGTAGTATGGCTGTGGCTCAAAATCAAACAGGGGGGGTTACGCAGGTTTTGGTCCATGTTTCCACTTACCAGGGTTCCATTTTGGTACCGTTTTTTTGAGCCACAGCCATATATACTCCCTTGGGATAAAACACATTCCAAACACATCAGCCTTTTGTTGATTTGTTTCTTGGACTGAACGGAAGCGTGTCTCACTGGACAAATCCATTTATGTTTCCAGGAAGGGGAAGCACAATTGCATGGTGGTTGTTGGGAAACGCTCTTTACATCTTTGCTTCTTTTGGTTTAGGGATTGAAGTCCAAATCCACTTCGCTGCTTTTTTTTCTTCAGCTGTTGCTCCCCTTCCAAGATCAAAGATTGGAGGTCATGGGAAGGAAGACCTGGTTTAGCAGGCTCAAGGCTCAAGGCTTGAGATCTTCATTTGTGGCTAGGCCCCCCATCAATTGGTGCCCGACCTCTCGCCTTTTTTGTTTTTTTTTGAGGGTTCCCCTAAAATGGATTACAGAAAAAGTTGGTACCCTTATTCTAACCTCTCTACTGGAGGACCTAGTTATGGTTTTTCATTGTGTCCCCTTTTTTTGGGGGGAAGACTAGAAAAATGGAATTGGGCCCCAGACCCCCAACTTCCCCCCCTTGAGGTAGGGGGGTGAAACCACCAATTATGGATTAGCTGAAGATGGGCGGTGCAGATTCACCTGGGGCAATGCAACCACCCCCAAACCAGGTCCTCCTATCGACCCTCAAAACGTGGTCGGTCTACCCAAATGTTTGGAGTCACCCCTTTTTTCAAATGTGAGTCATGGAGACTCCAGCTAAGACCTCCCAAGTTGGTTGCGCAACGGGCCGTTTCTTCTGCCGAGGCTACTGCCAGGGCGACTGCACGAAGCAGGACTTCGACCGCCGCCGCGCAGTGGAGCTGAAGCACGGGCGCATCTGCATGTTCGCCACCATCGGCCGGGGTCTCGGGGTCTCGGGGTTGGTGCGGCGAGGCGCCGGTGTTTAGGAGCTTGTAGACGGCTGACTCGCGAAGTTCACTGTTGGCCTGTTTTTTTTCCTCTTTTTTTTTCCGGTTTTATTGCTCTTTGGTCCTGTTCATGTTTCACTGCAGAGTCGCCAGTTTTACTCTACCATACCGCTTGGCTTGGAAACTGAATCAGAATCTGGAACGAGTTTTGGTGTACCTGAACCCTCAAACTACACTCAAATTACACCAGCCTCGACCCCAAACAGCAAAAAACCATGACAGGTCTGTATATCCCAAACAAGGGCTTGTCTCCTTCATGGAAGGTGCGAAATTGAGTAGCTTATGTGAGCAACACATAGTTACAATCAGTCCATGTATATCCCTGCAGGAAGTCCCCTTTTTTTGGAAGAGGACACATCAGGTCCATCCATCTCCTTGACAACGGGTAAAAGCATCGATGTTGTTCATCGACTTCGGGGAGAAAATTCCATGTCAATGCCATGTTCGAGAGTGAAGGCCCCGGGGTTCGGGGTGAATCAACCTAACACCTGGCATTAATCAAAGGAAGTTTCGAAGGAACTTTCGTAGTACGGACACTCAATGCACTTTTCCATCACCGCAGCATTTGGCGGCCGTCTCGCTACTCTGCTGAAACTTGCGCATCAGTCTCAGCAGCTTGCGGCCGAGACTGGACATCATGCCACTTCTGGTTGCTATCTTCTTCTCGAGCTCGGCTAAAGGTCTTGCCACAAGCAAAGCAAGAGAGCACTTGCATAAACTTGCAGACTGCGCCTTGTAGCGTTACGGCCGGGTTATCCTTGCCTGGCAACGCAGACACACGCCGCGCCAAATTGGCAAGCGTCAGCAAAGGTGCCCGTTTGGCGCGCACCTCTGTCACCCGGCACAGCTCCAGAAAATCCTCAGTTTTTGAGCCGGCAGTAGCTTGGTCATCCAGGGTCTTCATCTCTGTCGTGTCCAGCACGCCGCGTGCTCCCAAGATGGCCACCAAGTAATCCGAGCAAGTTCTCTGCGCAAGTTCCTCTGAGCAAGTTGTTGGCGCGAGTTCCTTTGAGCAAGATCTCCAAGCAACTTCTTGGCAGAAATTATCTGAGCAAGTTCTCCCAGCAAGTTTCTCTGAACAAGTTTCAATCAGCCAGTTGTCTGAGCAAGCTCTCTGCGCTGCGCGCTTGCCGCAACACACTAACTTCCTAGTGCAACTCACTACTGCAACTTGCTAGCGCCACTTGCTGGTGCTACTTGCTAGTGCCACTGGCAAGCGCTACTGGCTCGTGCATCTCGCTAGCTATCTTGCTCGTGCTACTGGCTTGCGCCATTTTGCTAGTGGCATTTTGCCAGTGCAACTCGCTAGTGCTACTTGCTTTCGCAACTTGCTTGCGCAACTTGCTGGTGTCATGCGCTGGAGGTCTTTTCTGCAGCGCCGCTTCATACGATTTTGGCTGACCCCCGCACAAGCCATCTGCCTCGCTGGTAAAATGCTTTCTGGAGCCGTGCCCCTTCTCCATTCCATTTCAGTTACGGCCACTTGGCTGGGCTCTGCTGATGCGCCACAAGCATGCAAACCAGTCAGTTAAGGCCACTTGGCTGGGCTCTGCTGATGCGCCACAAGGATGCAAACCAGTCAGCTAAAGCCACTTGGCTGGGCTCTGCTGATGCGCCACAAGGATGCAAACCAGTCAGTTGCGGCCACTTGGCGGGGCTCTGCTGATGCGCCACAAGGATGCAAACCAGTCAGTTAAGGCCATCCAGACACAGGGAGACAAGCGGGAGACACGCGTTTGGCATCCGACCGCAGAGGGACAAGCGGGAGACAAGCGCAGAGACTGGGAGACACAGAAAGACAAGCGGGAGACATGACCCCGGAGCCAGCGTCACAGCATCTGGCATCCTGAGACAAGCGGGAAACACATCCCGGGACCCGGGAGTCACGACACCGAAGCCGGCGTCGCAGCATCTGGCATCCGACCGCACAGCATCTAGATGCAGGGAGACAAGCGGAGAGATGACCCCGGAACCAGCGTCACAGCATCTGGCATCCGACCGCCCGGAGCCTGGCATCTGACCGCAGAGACATAAGGAGACAAGCGGGAGACACGAACCCGGAGCCGGCGTCACAGCCAGACACGGGGAGATAAGCGGGAGACACGACCCTGGAGCCAGCGTCACAGTATCTGGCATCCGACCGCAGAGACTGCAAGAGACACAACCCCGGAGCCAGCGTCACAGCATCTGGCATCTGACCGCAGAGACTGGGAGCCACAGGGAGACAACCCCGAGCTGGCGTCACAGCGTCTGGCAGCCGACCGCAGAGAGTAGAGAGATACAGGGAGACAAACACCACCCCGGAGCCAGCGTCACAGCAGCATCTGGCATGAACGCGGAGACTGGGAGACACAGGGAGACAAGCGGGAGGCGCGACCTGACCGCAGACACTGGGAGACACAGGGAGACAAGCGGGAGACACGACCCCGGAGCCGGCGTCACAGCATCTGGCATCTGACCGCAGAGACTGGGAGACACAGGGAGACACGACCCTGGAGCCAGCGTTGGCATCTGACCGGAGAGACTGGGAGACAGGAAGACAAGCGGAAAACAGGACCCCGGAATCGGCGTCACACTTTCCCATTCTCTATACCTCAAGTTAGAACCCCAATGCTTCGCTGCTTGGGGAAAAAGGGAGGTCATCAACCATAAACTTGGGGTTATACCCCATTTTTAAGTTGGAATTGGAGGGTCAAGGTTTCTTTCTTTGGGGGCGCTTCGTTTTTGGTTGGATATGATTGGAGTCCAGGCATACAACATGAGCTTGAACGAATCAAGCGTTCCATGTCCTTGCTAGCGAAGCAGGACACAACACGATACCTGCAAACAGAACGGACCAGGGTGGAGTGCTCAAGCGAGCCTTCGAGATGGCAACGCCTCACGCATAAGGCAACTGGTCCTGTGGTGGCTTTTTCTTGAGCTGTTGAAATGTAGTTTACCCGCTTGATTCAAGGCCAAATCTGCGTCACTCCTTTGTTCTAAAAATTGGAGATGTCGATGCTCATGCCAGAAGGTCTACTTGTTTTTCTCGAAAAACCTCTCGAAAATATATTTGTGTTTTTGGTGTCCAATAAAAAGGCCAACCAACAACGAATGGCCCCGGAAAAAGACACCTGGGCTTTTATAATTTTTAACTTTGAAACGGGTTAGAGACCAACCCACATTTACGGTTGGTGAATTCCCTTTTTTTTGAGTTGGTAGTTTGAGGGCTCAGGCAGACCCGGGAACCGCTGCATCTGGTTGCCTGACGCCTTCGCCTTCGCGGCGTCGATTCGCGTCTCAGTCACTACCTGGAGTCTCCCTAAGGACCCTTTTAAAAAAGTGGGTCCACCCCACGATTTTGGGTCATGACCAACCATTTTGTTGAGGGTCCTTAGGGAGACTCCAGGTACCCTTAAACATGGGTGGCCACGGGTCCCAACTTCGGCGGGCGAAAAAAGTTCCTTTTTGTCGGCTAGGTTCCTTTGAGGCGCAGGAACCCTAAGGAACCTCTACAACCCCCCCCCAAACGAAAGAATCCATCAAACTGTCCATTGTGACGAGGTTTTGGTTGACTTTACTTTTGCTCGCCGGGAGCAAAAGCAAACAACCTTTGAACCGGGTGAAGCGGGCGAGGCGTTGCCTTCGCTGAAAAGTGGGGGCCGTGAGGATGTTGTGAAGCTGAAACCAATATTAACAAAGGCACGCGAGTGGGACCACTCCGAATTTCAGAACTTGGCTTTCGGTTTGCCAAGCCAGCGCCCACCTGGACCCTCAAGAAGAATCCAACTGAAAAAAGGGTTAGCAGGGCTCCTTAAAAAGAAATTTCAATTTTGCAACCATTTGAAACATGTGGCTTTTTCAACGCCCAAAATAAGGAAAGGGAAACCACCACTTACAAGTTGCAATGTTCAGGTGTATAATGCAAGGATCCCCGATTAAGATTGAAATACTCCGGGGAACCAAACTATGTCGAGATGGTTCCCCTTTGATCCGTAAAATAATCCCTCCGAGTAATACCTGAACCCTCGAACTACCAACTTAAAAAAGGGACTTCACCAAGAATAAATTTGGGTTGCTATACTTCCCATGTTTAAGTTGGATTTTTGAGGGTGGTGCGGCTTCACGGATTGAGTTCACAAACTCGCGCAACATGCGCACTGGATGTAAAGCAAGCCACAACAGTGGTGCCTTTAGTTTCTCCTTTCTTTGGGCAAGGGTTCCCCTTGTTGCACTCAACCAACAACAGAGGGTGCCCTTTCTTTCCCATGGAAATCCACTGAGCATCTGAGAAAAGGATGGAGTTTGTTTGAAGTATCCAGATGCAACAATAGTAATAGCAGTACTAGTAAGCAATACTAATCAGTACCTGGAGTCTCCATGACCCTTAAAACATGGTTGGTCATTACCCAAAATCAGGGGCTGGACCCATTTTTAAAGGCGATTTGTTGCACAAAGCCATGTGTGTGTGTGTGTTGTTTTTGTCCGGAGTTGCCTTGTTGCGGGTGGTTCAAAGAGAGGCTAAACGGAAACCATACATTTTAGTTGCCGCCTCATTTTGACAGACTGCGTTGCAGGCATGGTGTGGCCGGACCTGCCCGGGGGCTTGTTGGTGCGATAGGTAGCGAATGACCGAGACCGGGTGTTGGGAATGAGCCTAAGGATTCCCTTACAGGAAACCATGGGGATGGTTGTTAGGGGTCATTCCATTTCTCATTCCCTGCTGAGAGCCAGCAAGTTGAAAGAGATTGAGCGCCCCAAAAATCCAGAAGGGCCAAGTTAGTTGAGGATTTTGTCCCGGTTTGTTTGCATTTTTGTTGAGTTGCGTTTTGAGTAAACTCAACATAGCACCGGCCACTTTGGAGGTTCCAATTCTTGAAACTATCGAACCACTTGGCTGTGCAAAGGCCAAAACCTGCGTAAACCCCTCCTGTTTAATTTTGAGCCACACCCACTTGGGTGTTCGGCCTAAGCTAGCAAGTTGGTGATGACCTAGTTTATAACCCACTTATAAGTCCCCCGTGAATGTGTGGGTGGTAAGAAACCAGCTACAGGAATTCTACAGGAAACTCGTGGTTTTGGGTATTTGGCAAACTTGCTGTAGAATTCACGACTGGTTTCTATGGTTGTTTAGGGTGTTTGGTAGAACGCTCGATATTCATGGCCCCCAAGTGACCACGGCAGGTAACTTTTCCCATTTAGTAAATATAATATGTTTAGTGGTTTTCCAAAAGGACGTTTTGATCAACCCCCATGTAGAATGTATGAAAGAAGTCTTTGTACTGCTTCCGAATGTTGGGCTCATCAACACCCAACGCCCGATTCAAGGGCGCATTTTCCTTCAACAAATGATTCACCAGTACCAGTGCCTCACCATAAAACGGACACCTGGGGTCTCCGGTCCGACAAAGGGGTAACGAGACCCCATGCATGTTTGGGTTAGAAGTAGACTGCGCGTAAACAAGCAGGTTTCCACCAGTCACCATGAAGAACTCTAGAAAACTTTTTGTGATTTTTCCTGTACTTCCCCTGTTAGCCCCTTTTTAGTAACCTTTTAGATCTCGTTTAATTATTCTACAGGGGTGGATCCACAGAAGCCACATCCAAGCCGTTTTCTAGAAGAACAAGACAAGGTCCGGGGCTTGCGGGACAGAGTCTTGCTCGCCAGAAAAGCCGCGCGAACCACCTTTCTTGAGGTCTAGTTGAAAACGGATTGGTGGCGTTTGCCAATGAACTTGTCACTCCCATCTCCGGCTTCAGGTCAACTTGGAGAGTCCTCACAGGGACGGAGTGGGATCCGTGAAGGATTTTGTCTTGAGCACAAGTTTAAAGAATCTGAGCCAGAGTCTCCAAAGTTCCCATTTAGCCCTTTAGCCATTGGAAAAGGAGAGTTAACAAGGGCTCTGGTCTTAGATTCGTGTTTGGCGACTCGATTGCCCCCGCTTCCGATTGCGCCATGAAGGTGGATGTTCACTTGCCCAGTGGACATGGTTGCTCCAGAGAAGTCTTTCCGGCGATGCCCATCAGCGAGCTGACGGCTGCAGCACAGCAGCATTTCCAGCGCCGCTTGAAGCTCACTGCGAAAGGCCGGCAGCTCGATTTGACGGCTACTCTGAGCGAGGCCGGGTTGCGAGATGGGGATGTGGTGGATGCGTTTGTGCAGCTGGGCCAACTGGCTGCCACAGCCCGGGCATTCGCTTGGCATGGCCCTGAGGGCGAAGTTGTGACCTGGGGTGATCCAGAACGCGGCGGAGACAGCAGCCAGGTGGAAGAGCAGCTGAACGTCCAACACATTCAAGCAACTGATCGTGCTTTTGCTGCCGTTCTTGAATCGGGGGCTGTTGTGACCTGGGGTGATGCAAACTTTGGCGGAGATAGCAGCGAGGTGCAAGAACAGCTGAGGAATGTCCAGCATATCCAAAAAACTAGTTCGCCTTTGGGTGGTGCTTTTGCTGCCGTTCTTGAATCTGGGGTTGTTGTGACCTGGGGTTTGGCAAGCTTGGGCGGAGACTGCAGCCAAGTGCAAGAGCAGCTGAGGAACGTCCAACACATTCAAGCAACTCATCATGCTTTTGCTGCCATTCTTGAATCTGGCGATGTTGTGACCTGGGGTGATGCAGACTTGGGCGGAGACAGCAGCCAGGTGCAAGAGCAGCTGAGGAACGTCCAGCATATCCAAGCAACTGGGCGTGCTTTTGCTGCCATTTTGGAATCTGGGGCTGTTGTGACCTGGGGTCATGCTCACTTCGGCGGAGACAGCAGCCAGGTGCAAGAGCAGCTGAGGAACGTCCAGCGCATTCAATCAACTTACGGCGCGTTTGCTGCCATTCTTGAATCGGGGTCTGTTGTGACCTGGGGTGATCCAGACTATGGCGGAGACAGCAGCCAGGTGCAAGCGCAGCTGAGGAACGTCCGGCACATCCAAGCAACTGCGAAGGGTGCTTTTGCTGCCATTGTTGAGTCTGGGTTAGTTGTGACCTGGGGTCCTTCCCTCTTTGGTGGAGACAGCAGCCAGGTGCAAGAGCAGCTGAGGGGGAACGTGCAACACATCCAAGCAAATAAGCATTGTTTTGCTGCTATTCTTGAATCTGGGACTGTTGCGACCTGGGGTGATCCGGCCTTTGGCGGAGACAGCAGCCAGGTGCAAGAGCAGCTGAGGAATGTCAAGCACATCCAAGCAACTCACAGTGCTTTTGCTGCCATTCTTGAATCTGGGAAAGTTGTGACCTGGGGTTTGACAGGCGGAGACAGCAGCCTGGTGCAAGAGCAGTTGCGGAACGTCCAGCACATCCAAGCAACTTCCGGTGCTTTTGCTGCCATTCTTGAATCTGGGGCTGTTGTCACTTGGGGTGATCGAATCCTTGGCGGAGACAGCAGCCAGGCGGAACAACAACTTCGCTTGAATCTGGGTCACAGCACGGAGGGTGCAAATTTATCGGGCTCCAGTCTCGCGTGCTGAGAAAAATCGGAACAGCAGGCACACTTCAGAGTTGGATGCCTCGCTTTCTGAGTTCCTGGACTTTCGACTTTTTGGGTTGGGACCTATCTAGTGGCAAACAAGTTTTGCGCGTTTTCTAGCCAATCCTCTCGATCAGAAGTGAGATTCGGTTTCCGTGTTGTCAGTTCAGCTTGGTGTAGCAACGCAGGTGCAACGCAGAAAGACAGAGGTGAGCAGTTGATCACTATCAGCCATAGTTGAGAGAAGCCGTGTTAAGTTTGAAGGCTAATTTAGAGCTCGCCCCCTCACGTGTCAACCCCAAATGACAAGTCTTCTGACCTTTGATGAAACTCCTCCATTTGCTCCAAGTCCGTTTCACAGCAGTCATAGATTCACTTCAAAACCCAAGGGGAAACACATCCGCAAAAGATCAAAGAGCCAAGGGTCCAAAGAGCAAAGGGAGGATGTCTTTCCCTGAGTTGGTTTATTAGGCCTAAACATGGTTGTTGTTGGGACACATGTTACATTGTTGCTTATTATGGTTTAGCGGGAAATTCCCACTTAACTGCTAAATATGCCCCCTTTCCAACTTTAAATCTGGGCTGCGACAAACCACACTTCTCACTGTGGGCCAGATTGAGTCTACAATATCGCCTATGTGACAAGACCATTGTCATGTTTGCAGTTTTTTGGTTCAGTTCATTTGTAGTAGGGGGCTGCAGAAAAGCCAGGGAGCCATCCGGTTCCTTAGGTTTTTAGCCTTTTAGTGTTTAGTGGTAGTTTCCGTATTTAACCCACTAAACTTTGTTGCATGTTGCTTGGATGTTAGGACTTTAACTTTTTGCCAACTAATGGGTTTTCCATCAAACCACTAAAAGCTAAACTTTTTAGCAGGGGAGCAGAAAGCAACCGAGCAAAAGTTGTTCACTTTTAGCGGGGGATCAGAAAACGGGCAGCCCCGTACCGAAAGACCCAAGACGGGATGAATCGGAGCTCCAAGTCCATGGCGAAGTTGGGAGAGTTGACCGTGGCTCATACTGTTGATGGACGAAATCCATTTCGCACTACCTAAGAAACCCTGGAAGGATTCGATTCCCCAACGTAAATACCAACAAACAATGGTTCCCATGGTTTCCAAGTGGTGCAGGATTTCGTCCATCCACAGTATGGCTGCCTCGTTTTGAGTCGGTGCCCTTTTTTTAAATAGAAACCAAAAGGAGGCCCGGTTGGCCCATTTTGGTGGGTCCGGGACCCCCAAAATAGACGAGCCACCCATGAACTTTCTGGAAAATTGGTTTTCACACACAAGTAAGAAAAAGCTAATTGTAAACGCTTCGCGTTGCCCGCCTTGGCCAGTCCGCACGCTGTTGTCTGGCTTTGAGGTATATACCGTGCTTTAGTTTGCGTTGAAGTCTTGTGTTCATTGAAGTCAGTGAGTCGACGCCAAAATGTCTGCGTGTTTCGACATGGCTTGAACCGCAGAGAGCTACAGAATGGCAGTGGGCTTGGGCCAAGCGAAGGTGCAAGTTTCTATTGAATTTGACAGCAATTTTGCCGGTTTCTGGGGGGATTGACCGGAGTTGGACCTGTTTTTAGAGGGGATGTGACAGGTTTCTAGATGGGAGTTTGACCGGCTTCCACATTTTTCTTGTGGGTTCGATTGGGTTGTGGAGGGGGGTTTGACCGGTTTTATGTGGATTGTGACCGGCTTCTATCAGGATTTCACTGGAGTTGAGGCAGGGATTTTTGGCTGCGCGAGGGGGGTGTTGGGTGGGACAATTTTGGAAGCGGTTGGGGATGGGGTATGCACCACCCGCCCTTCGCGTTTCTTCACAACCCAAAGACTACCTATCCAAAGAAGTCTCAGGCCTGTTCAACCGGGTGTAAGATGTCCGACGATGTTTGGCGCCCGAGGTTCGGAAAGCTCGACGGCTACCTTTCCCCCTCGCAGAACCTGCGACTTGGCGTTTTTTGACAAATCCGGGCGAATCCTTGGCCGGCTACGTTCTAAGCTTGCGTGGTGCAATTGCAAAGGACATCCGTATGTGTTCCCTTCATCCCCCCAGGTTTCACCATGCATAACTTGTCCCATGTAGCGGGGGCAAATATCATGTTTTGTGGTTTTCCAAGCAATGGTCCTCCCATTGTATCATGCACCTATTGAACATGAACCCCTCAAAGGTCGGTGGCGTTTTAGGCGCCAGCTCCGCCAGCTCCGCCAGCTCCGCCATGAGATCGCTCGGGGACAGTCAGATCTTCGCCTAAAAGCCTGCGATCTTCTCGCAACGCGCAGCGCGTCCGAGACGTCCATGGCAACCACGGGCCTCACCCCACCTTTCAACATGGACATGGGGGATGGGGGCGAAAATGACCCCTGCGGATCGCCATGGCGACCCATTTTGGGCAAGACGAGTTATACCTGGAGGTTCCATGACCCTTAGCAACTGGGTCCATGACCAGAGAATTTTGGGTCAGCCCTCCCCTCTTCTCGGAAAGATACCTCTGGAGCCGGTGGTTCCAGGTGGCCGGTGGGGTGATCGTGAACCAAAAGTCGGGACTTCTGAGCAATCCACTTGCTTTTTGTTTTCCCAGTTGCCCAGTGGATTTCCCTCTCCTTTTGACACGTCCTTTTCTGGGGATGTAGGGTTCCGATCCCTTTTTTTGGCACTCGACCAACCCAAAGAAAATCGGGCGCATCCTTTTCGTCCCCGTGAGAAATTCCTTTGGGCCTTTTGCGTTTTTTTCTTCGTTTTGGGGGGAAGCGACTTTTGCCCCAGCCCCAAACAAATGGGATGCATCCCTTTTTTCCCCATGGAACATGCCGTGGTTTTTTTTGGTGTCCTTCTTTTCTTTCTCGTTTTGGGAAAAAACGATAATAAAAAAGACGGCGCCCCGCGTCCCGGGCTCGGACGCGTCACGCGAGGAAGTTTGCGGAGGTGCCGTCCGGCCTTGCGGCCATCAGCAAGGCGTCTGAGACATGCTCATCAATGGACTGCCCCTGGCAGTCTTTCATTTGGTAAAGAATACGTTTTTATTTTCCCTTGTTGGTTTCAAAGGGAATCTATCACTACTGGAATCTATCACTACGAACAGGGCCCAAATGTCTGGAATGGAGTCTCCTCTAACCCGAAAGAACAATGGGTCCATGACCAACCATTATTTTGGGTAGTCTAACCATTTTTATTTCGGGTCAGAAGGAGACTCCAGGTCCAAATGGACTACTGGCAGTCCCTCTACCCCCGCAAAACGGCGGCCCATTTGAAGCGAAGGCCCTGCCCTGCGTTTTCAAGAGGACCCATCTCATTCCGATGACTCGGTCAATTTTTCACACTCGGACCGCAGAGACTCACGACTGTGATTTCGCGGGATTTCGGTGAAGCAGCTTCAGTGTGTGTGGACCTGATTCACCATGACGTCGCTCACCGTTGTTGAACCTTCTGATCCGTTTTGTGTTTCCTTGACTTCCGCGCACAAGTTTGCACGAAGCCTGGCCCGTGGTTGGGGCTGGCACATTTCAGCCTCGTGAAACTCCAAGGAGCAAGGGCTTCAGTCGCTGTTGCGACTGCCTCTGGGTCCGAGTGGGTTGCCTTGTTCTAAAAGAGACACGGGGCCGATGTGTTGTTTCTCAAGGTAGAACCTGGGTATCTTCAAGACTGTTGTTTGTCATGGGTATGTTCTTTGTGCCAGCTTGCCCCGAATTGTTGGATTGGTGGCTTGGTGGCGGGAATCCTCATTGACTTCCATTTGCTTAAGAGAATGGTATATGTCCCCTGTTGATGTTTAAATGGAATCTATCACTTCTGGACATATTTTGTTCCAGGGCATGTGTTAGTTTTGGGCGGCGTCCCTAAGATTCACTTGGCTTGCAGGTTCCCCATGCTTTGGACCTAAGAACCGCTGGAATGAAAATTGCCCCTGGAAATCTCTAAGACCAAAGCCACTACCCCCAAAACAAACTACCCCCGAAAGCCAACATGTTGTGCTCCAGGTTTGGGCGTAGAAAAATGTAGTCTTAGAAAATACCAACCAATGGCGGTTTCTCCTATGGTTTCAAAGTGGTGCAGAATTTCCTCTATGCACAGTATGTCCAACCTTTTGGTGGTTTTAAGCGCCACCTTTTGGGCTATTTCGATGAGTTGCAACCCGCCTAAAACATTTGGTGTTATGTTGTTCGGAGTTGGTACCAGTTCTTGTTGAGGCCGGTTTGATATCCCTCGAGCATGTACATACCCGAGTGTGCATTCACGATGCCACTTGCGGGCTGGAACAGTTGCTGCGTTTCGTTGTTGTTTACTAGGAGCTTCTGCCACTTTGCTTTAACAGGAATCAAAAGGACCACCAATATGTTGACGCATGCCAGGGAAAGGGCCTCTACAAGCTTAAAGCAACGCTCGTCTGGTGGGTTGTGCGGACGTGAACAGAAGATCGTCCATTTGCTTGAGAAAATTTGTTATTTTGTCTTCTTTTTCTCAATTATAATATATATATATATATAAGGAATCTATCACTACTGGACATATTTGCATTTTTCCCAGCAGGCCTAAACAAATAAGCTTTTACATCACCCTCAAGCATACCTTAACCAGTGGCCTCCCATACTTGTGTCTTAAACTGGATGGGCCATCTCTTGAACCGAGCCCAAGTTCCCCCAAACTGGACTTGGAAGATGATGTTAGTGGCAAACCAACACTTTGGAATTGGGGTGACCCCTGAAATTCCATCTACGGCAACATATTTCCTTGGGAAGATAAATGGAATTGTGTCCCCTCCTTGTGTCATAAAGTCAGTGGATGGAAGGATACATCAGTCTAGAAAACGGTTTGTCCACCCCTGTAGAATCTTAAGAAGGATTACTGAGCGTGGACTAGGGGAAAGACAACTTGGTGAAATCCACAAGCGCAAATCCAAACCCTATTCTGTGCTTATTAAGCCTTAAGGCCTTATTTGGGCTCCTCCTCCCCTCCCCCCCCCCACCACCCACCACCCCCCATGACCCCCACCACGCCCCACCACCCCCCACCACCCCCCACCACCCCCCACCACCCCCCACCACCCCCCACCACCCCCCACCACCCCCCACCACCCCCCACCACCCCCACCACCCCCCACCACCCCCACCACCCCACCACCCCCCACCACCCCCACCACCCCCCACCACCACCCCACCACACCCACCCCCACCACACCCCACCACACCCACCCACCACACCCCACCACACCCCACCCCACCACCCCCCCCACCACGCCCCACCCCACCACCCCCCCACCCCTCACCACCCCCACGCCGAGTCACCAGACTCGGAGTTGCCAGGTGCCCTTGGAAGGCTGGCTGCAGATTCTGCTGGTGGCCGGGTTGATTGAGACCCAGCTCTTCAAGGCTCAACTTCGCTGCGTCGGATTTGGAGCCGTTTGGGCCGATTTCATTCTTTGAGGGCCTGGTGGATTTGAATCGTCTCCTCCACCACGACCCATTTTTTCTGGTTGGCCTCCACTGGATTGTCCGTGAACACCAAGATGTGCGGTCCTCTGTCGCACGGCGTAGTCCGAGACAAGTGGTGGGGTTGAAAGGAACCCTTTCGGGTCCAAGGGTTCCTGGAGAGAGTGAATGGTCGGCTACGGGAGATCAAGAGAAGGTTGTTCAATCCATGCTGGCACGCTTCTCTTTGGGAGCTTGCTACCCCTGGTGGGTCCCAAAGGGAAACCAAAAGGAACACCGAATCCATTTTGGGGGGTCTGAAGCCTAAAACAGCTCACCACCCCATATACCAAACCAAGGGTCACCGATTTGGAATGCAGATCCGGCTCGAGTTTCGAAGCAGGAAAGCCCTATGATACCGTCCCGCTTTTTAAGGTTCGTATGGTCTCTTAACATCAGAGGCGTATGGTATGGGAGAGTTTTCCCTGAAATGTTTGAGAGTGTCGGCTGCAAGCTCAAGGTTTCATCAAATCTGATGTCTCTGCTGTGGATTGGAGACAGCAAGATTGGATGTTAGAGGTACCTTTGTTGGGGTGGTTGCGAAGGGACGCCAAGAGGAGACCGAAGACTGGGGGGGGGGGGGCATCCATATTCCATTTGGCGACAGACCAATTTGCTAAACAAGTCCATGGCTTCGATGGTCCGAGAGGAATCGCGTGGTTTGCTTTGCCCCAGTTCAGTCCAGGTCCCCCAGTAGTGCCCTTTCTCTCCCCTTTTTTGGTTGAGAGGGTTCCCCTACTAAAATAGACCACAGAAAAAAAGTTGGTACCCTTATTCTAACCTCTCTACTGGAGGACCTTCCCAGTGAATCCTCAGTTGCACCGCCTGACGATCATCCCGAGGGAGTTCCACGTTGATGGCCGGAGAGTACCCCACATTACCCCAGCTTCCTGTTAAAGGGGACCACAACGCAAACGACCATATTTCCGGAGTTTTGACCACGGCTAACATGGGTGTTTCTGTGTTTTTTCCAGATGGTTGGTTTCTTTTTGCCCTTAGCCCATCCAAAAAGGGTTCCCCTTTGAGAAAACCGGTTTCGATCCCTTTCTGAGAGGGACATGAACTAAGAGCGTTGGTCTGGGGTGTAAGGGGGACCCACAAATAACAGGTTCAGCTCTTGGAGCCTGTGCTAAATATAAATCGGGGAAGCCAAAAGCTTAAGAGGTGGATTCGCTTGGGCAAGTGAGGGTTAGTTTCTCGGCCATTCAGCTGGGGTGCCCGGTTTGGGCCAAGTACTTCGACCAGGACCAGTCCTTCGGCGGCTTCGGCTACGCAAAGTACGGTCCGAGACCCGGGCAACCAGAAATGAGTGCACGTCGTTTTTTGAGGAACTCATCCGCACCCCCTTAAATATGGAATTGGGGAGGGGGCTGACCCCTGGAATTCCATGTGTGGTTCCATTTTCCCTTTTATGGGGAAGATTAGAAAAATGGAATTGGGGACGTCGGACCCCCCTCCTCTGAAGGTTGGGGGGATGGGGACTCCCTCCGATTCTTCACTCTTTTAGGACTTCTGCTCGGGTTTTGTGGGGGATTCCCTGCTTGGGTCTTCGATTCATTTCGATTCGCCAAGTTAGTAAGTGGTGATCGCCATTGGGGGTATAACTCGGGGACTTGTAGGTGGGTTGTAACCTAGGTTTCAAACAACTCACTAACTTGGCCACACATCCAACTGGGATCCTTCATGTCTTTTTGGACTTTTTGGGTTTGCTTCATTTTCCCTGTAACCAGCAGAGGATTGTTTTTCGCAAAGAAAGAGTTGAGCACGTTTTTTGGTGGACACCTGCTGAGTGGGAGGCTGATCATCTTTCTTGCTTTGCCAGATTTTTTGTTTGGAGCACGGGGTTTCTTCATGTTCCCCGTATCACCAGCAAAAGATGCGTGTTAAAAAAGAAAGAAAGAAAGAAAGAAAGAAAGAAAGAAAGAAAGAAAGAAAGAAAGAAAGAAAGACAGAAAGGAAGAAAGATAGAAATAAAGAAAACAACTCGCAAAGATACAAGCCTGGTCAATCTCAAGACGATGTATGTGTTTGTTCGTTTTCGGTTTCCGAGGACAGGAGGTTTGTAGAAGACCTTTGGGAACCGGAGAAAAAAAAGAGAGAAAAACAACATGGGTCGCGGGCAGATGGGTCTGTCTATATTTTTGGGAACCCCCTTTTTGGTGGGTTAGATCAAAATGGACATGACCTGAATGTTTTGGGCTCTATGTCTCCGGTGCCCACGGGAACGGCTTGCCGCAAATGAATTTGCGGAAGCTGGAAAAGGGGGTAGTCTGGGCTGTTCAAAGGTAATCCTTAATCCTTACCTTGGGGTTACGCAAGGAACCGGTCGCCTTTGTAGTGGCTTTCCAAAAGGGGATTATGGATTAGGATTGGCCAACCCTCCATTTTGAACAGCCCAGGTAGTTTGGTGGTTTGGTTTTTGCCGGGTTAATCTGCAGGTAAGCCTTCATAGCTACCCAAAGGAACTAACATTTCCCAAGCCCAGGCTGGCCCTGAGGAAACATCCAGGAAACACCAACGTCAACACATTTAAAAGTCACTTGTCGGGCAAATGCTGCGCATTTGTGTCCCAACTGGAAGAACTCGCTCAAATGGAGGTGAGCCCGCAAATGACTGGCAACACGTTGCGCTTAAAACACTCATTGTCGGGGCATGTTCGATTTTTTGGGCCGTGGATTGTGTGTTTTTTTTGAATACTCACTTCGGATTTATGAACAGGAAGACAGTACAGATATTCTAGGGGTTGATTCCCCATTCTTTTCAACCATAGTTCTTTTCAAAAACCGGCTGTTTCCCTAGGGTGTTGGGTGTTTTTTTTCAGAAAGAAGGATGCCTGGAAAGAATGGGGAAGGTTCAGAGATATGGCATCGATGTTTTTCTTTCCGCAGAGAGCTACCTCTGACAGATCTCCCATTTACCCTCCCGCCCAAACTGGCCTGGAAACAAGGCGGGTCCTGGGCGCAGTTTTCAACGTACCCGAGGCGTTGCTCATGAAATCTGAAAGGAACCTGGAGTCTCCATAACCCAAAATAATGGTTGGTCATTGACCTTTAATCTGAAAGGAACCTGGAGTCTTCATGACCCTTAAAAAATCGGGTCATTCCCCAAAATAATGGTTGGTCATTGACCCATTTTTTAATTTCGGGTCAGAAGGAGACTCCGGGTTCTTTCTTTGGTTGACTTTAAAAGGGTACCCTAGAAACAGGGAACTACCACTAAACACTAGAAGGCTCAAAAGCTAAGGAACCGGATGGCTGGGAGGCAAGTTGAAAGGGGAACCCTTCCACAACAAAAGGGTCAAGATTTGTTTTCCTAGGGGGGGTGGCAAGCAAAGGGGGTATCCAAATTTGCTCAGGGAGGGAGCATGAGGGAGCTAAGGAGCTACCAGGACTTCTGGTTAGGGACATGGTAGTTTCCTGTTGGCTCGGGAATAGCATGTTCACTACTGGAACCCTTGTTTGTTTCTTTTTTTGTGTTTCGTTGTCTTTTTTGTTGTTGTCTTGTTGTTGTTTTGTTTTGTTTTGTTTTGTTTTTTTAAGCAAACACACACAACAAAAACAACAATTAAAACAAAAAGACAACATGATTTCCCCGGGGCGCAAAACAAAACGGATGGGAGTTTTCATGTTCTTGAGGCGAGCCCGGGAACTTTGGCACCGGCTACTGGGGCAGAAAGATCCAGGACCTCTGAGGTTAAGTGACCGAAGGATTCTTTTCTTTCTCTCGGTGGCTTTTTCTTTGGCGCAAGCTGGGGGGGGGAGGGGCGTCTTTCTTTCTTTCTTTCTTCTTTCTTTATTTCTTTCTTTCTTTCTTTCTTTCTTGCGTTCTTTCTTTCTTGTTTCTTTATTTCTTTCTTTCTTCCTTTCTCTCTTTCTTTTTTCTTTCTTTCTTTCTTTTTTTTTCTTTGCATTTTTGCTTTGGGCTTTGAGGAGTTCCCTTCAAGAATAAACTATCCTTAAGAGTCATGACTCTTTGCTGACAGGTTCCTGGCCCCGAGACCCCGGACCCTGCCCTGAATTTCTTTCGATCCGAAGAAAGTCAGCCGCCAAAAACTCTGCCCAAAGCGAATCGACCTGATCTAACCTTTCGGTTTTCCAATTTTGACCAAAAGGGTTTTCCCAAAAGGTTTTCCAATTTCGGTTCCTATGTTTAGTAAGGGCAACCCAAAAGGTGATCACCTTTTATTTCTGGGGCCAAACTGGGCGACTGAGCAAAGGGAATGTTTTTTTTTGTTTTTCTCAACATGGTGTGGCTCAAAATTGAAGAGAAGCGGTTACGCAGGTTTTGGTCTTTGTTTCCATCCAAGGGGCCAAAAAGTGGGTACCGTTTTTTTAGCCACGGCCAATAGCAAGGGATTGAAATAACGGTACTGACTTGACTTGGGTGTGGTCCGATTTGTTTGGAGACAAACATATTTTCCCAATCCAAATGTTAAAATTTGTGCGCAATAGTTCGCAATAGTCATGCGATCACCCCACGCAACGCTAGTGCAAAAAAAGAGCCACTTGATTGCTAAGCGATCTCATGCGATCTCCGTGCCTAACAGCCCAATGTTGGAAGCTGTACAGGGGGTGATTGGTTTTGCTGACCGTAAGCTCAGCCACTTTTTTGGGGTTGGGGGGGCGTGCGGGCGCGTCGGTGTGGGGGGGGGGGGGGATGATCTCGAACATGTTGACTTCGCGGCAGCCGCGCGCTCAGACAGCATGCACACCGGCAGTGCGCTCGCAGTCCGTGCCCGGAGCCTTTGCGCGCACACTGTCCGTGCACTCACCGCATCCCTTGCGCCGACACAGGGACATGCGCACAGACACTGAGCTAGGTCTGTGCCGTGTGCCGGGCTCCTTGCCGCGCCTTCGGAAACCCCCCTCCCTCCCAGATTAACACAAAACCCACCTGGTTGATTCATAGCATGGGGTGTGCCATTTAAGACGGGATCCGGATCACTTTGGGGGGCGAACACTTGGTTTCAGATGTCTGGCGAACATCCTGTGGATTTGTCTATGAAGCAGGTGGTTCTACCTTGGCCTTATGTTTGCGGCCACGTAAGGCCTATAGAAACCATTTGTGTCGAACATTTTTTTCGGGTAGAACATGCAAGTAGCCTCAAAAACCAGACAAGCCACCCAGGTTCTTGCTATGATTTCAGTTTTTGTTTAAAGATGTTTTGTTATGTTCCCTTGTTGGTTTTGAAGGGAGTCGATTTCGCTACTGGATATATCTTCTAATTGTTTGCTAGGGGGGCAAGAAAGAAAATGGAAGATGAGCAGGTGGCTCGTTCCACCCAGGTTCCCTCCGACAAAACATCCTAGGTCCCCCAATAGTGCCCTTTCTCGCCCCTTTTTTGGTTGGGAGGGTTCCCCTACTAAAACAGACTACAGAAGAAATCGGGTAGCCTTATGCTAACTCTCTACTGGAGGACCCATGATTTATAAACCCGTCCCATTATTGGGGGGGTGTTCCCTCCAAAAAGTGGTCAATCAACCAGTGCCCCTTTTACCCTTTTTTGGGGGAGGGGTTCCCCTACTTTTTTTCTCTTAACAACATAAGATAACAAACAAAAAGAAGCAAAAGGAAGAATTCGGACGGGTACCAACTTCTTCTATCCTCCAAAACTGGAAAAAACCTCGCCTGGCACCCTCGCTCTCGGCCGCGAGGACCCGGCGGAGCGCAAGCTGAAGCTCACCACGGAGCTGAACAACGGGCGCTTGGCCATGACGGCCATGGCTGGGATGCTCATTCAGCCGGGGGCCACGGATCTGGGAAAGTTTTTTTGTTTTTTTCCCTCACCGGCGTGGTGGTCACAGGTGGCGAACTCAAAATGGGTTGCCCTGGTATGTGGAAACATGGACCAACATGGAACCCTGGTGAGGTGACACTACCTGCATTTGGGTGGCTGTGGTGGTCAAAACCGTTTTGGGATCCCATTTTGGTTGGTAGGAGCACTACCCATTTTAGGTGTTTTTTTTTTGGGGGGGGGCCGGGGGGGGGGGCTTTTAGGCTTTTAGGCTTTTCAGGCTTTTTAGGCTTTTTTAGGTCAAAGGGTTTTTCACCGGCTTGGTGTCACATCTGTCACCTCACTTCCTGCATTTGTATAACTGGTTGATGGGTCAAAGGCAAAAAGCAGGAATCGGTCCATTGGGGCTCCTAGGGCAAGGTTGCTTCCCTGTGGTTTCAACTTAAAAATACCCGGCTGCGGTGGTCTGTGAATGAATTTAGGATCAGCCTCCGATGTGTCTCGCATCCATACGTGTGACTGCTTCTAAGGAGCATGAGCTTGTGTGGTTTGGACATGTGTGAATATCCGGTGGATGGCATTTCGGTCCAAAAGGGATCCCTTCAGCCAAATACTCGCTTTTCATGCAGAGCATGGCGACGTGTGTGTAAAAGTGCTTGAGCGCGCTTCGGGAGCTTGAGGGTTCCCCGGCTACCGAAATTGGTAGCGGAGCCGGTTGAGACCGGCTTGGAGGAGGGTCGCAGAGGTGGAGCCCCATACGCACCACAGCGCAAGGCCTACTTCGGACCGGTTCACTTCGGTGGCTTCCTTGGTCTGGCATTTGGGCTTCTTGGTGGACTTCGCCTTCGGTGGGTTCGTTTCCTTATCTTGCTCTACGGCATCCTGTTGGTCTTCTCCTTCGGTGCCTTCGCTCTGGTTTGTTGGAAGTTGGTGTGCCCCATGACGGCGGTCACAGCCAAGGATTTCTGCGTCTCGTGGAACGGAGATGCTCATCAATGGCCAGATTATGTGCGGAAGGTGAGACTTCAATACGAGAAGACGGCCCTGGAGAAGAGATACCTGTTGGGTCCTGAGTTGGTGAGTCGGTTGACGGACAGAGCCTGGGAAGCTTGCTTCGAGATCGACCATGGACGTCTGCAAGGGCAACATGGAGCGAAGTTTCTCCTCACTCATCTTCGTGATCGCTTATGCCGAGCCCCTGTACCAGATGCCGGAGCTCGCTTGGAAGATCTTCTGATCCGTTTGCGGCGGACACCCGGTACTCCCTTTTCTCAATGGGCGCATCAGGTTCGGGAAACCTATCGTCGCCTTCAACGAGCTTTGGTTCGTGCGAGAGAGGAGTATGACGAGAAGCGGGGCAAGGCCGCAGATCGACATCTGCTGTTTCCTTCAACACGGCCAAGACGAGCTTCGATGGAGACTCAGTCCGAGCCGGAGCCACCTTCGGCAGACACTTCTCGGGATATTGGATCACCTGCGAAGAGCACTCACAGCGCCCCTGCTGACGGCCAACGCGATGAGGCTGGCGACTTAGAGGGCGAGATCCACGAGATAACCTGGGAAGGCGAGGACGGCAAGTGGACTGAGGCAGATTGGCAGAAATGGCGAGAGATGGAATCCAAGAACCAGATCCTGATGATCTGCCCTGGGATGAGTTGGAAGTGGATACGATGGAGGTGTTGCCCGACGAGGTCCTTGGATGGTTGCTTCTCCGACGAGCTGGTCTCCCTGCGAGTTCTCGTTTGTCCGTACAAGCAGCGATCGGAAACTCCTTGCGCTTCACGGAAGTGGAGCGCGCTCTACGCGATCAAGAAGAAGAACTTCTTCAAGCTGAAGCTCGGGCATGTGAACGACGCGGACCACAGAAGCGATCGTACTGGGTGGAGCAGGAGCAAGAATGGGGTCTTCTGGACATGCACCCAGACTCTTCGGATGAGACCCCAGTGCATTGGATTGGCAAGGAGCTTCCGGCGGAGGTGTACGCCCTATCTGCTGCCGGTTCTGCAGGTGAACTTGATGCTCAGGCGGTGATGCATGGTGGAGCTCTACGGCAACCTGGGATGAGCCTACATGGTGGTCATCTCCGACGTGGTGGACAGATGAGTGGAATGAGCCGGAGCTCACCAGTGAGGAACAGAAGCAAGTTGATGAAGCCTATGCTGCCTACGAAGATAAGGTGCGCACCTTCGTCCAGGCGCGCACTCTCATGAAGGACAAGGCGCGGAATCGAGGATTCTATCAGGCGGCCAAGGGCAAAGGCAAGGCTTCGAAAGGAAAAGGAAAAGGCAAGGGTCCAACGCCTACATTGGCGGCTGCCTCACCGACTTTCATGGCAGTCAAAGGATCCAAAGGGAAAGGAAAAGGTCCCAACTACACCGGCTGTTTCATTTGTGGCAGTCGAGATCACGGATATCAGAATTGCCCTCAGCGGACGCGTGGACCTGGCAAAGGTCGTCCTTCGTCTTCAGGACAGGCCATGGTGGTCATCAGCGGTTGGGAAGTTCCTGATCTACCGGAGGAGGACGATGAAGATGGCCATGGCTATGAATCCTACGCGGATGAGGTGGAGACGGTTCATGCCGAAGCTTGGACGGTGCAAGAAGCAGGACATCGGTGCTACGCAGTTTTGGACAGTGGAGCGACGGAGACTGTGACGTCTTTGACCGCACTTACGGAGATCATGAACTACAGGAAGGAGCTGTTCGGTGACGAGGATGTCAAGGTCTACCCGGCGGATGGGAAATCCTTCAGGTTCGGAAATGGCCGAACTATGCTAGCTTCATCCTTTGTGGAGATTCCGCAGTTCTTGAACGGCCAGAAGGTATGGCTTGGCGCCTACACGCTGGACACCGAGGACGCCTTCGTTCCTATGCTCATCGGAATGAGGACTCTGCAGAAGCTGGAGGCGGTCGTGGACTTTAGGTCTCGGCTCACTATTTTTCCTACTTTGAGCCCAGATATGATTACTTTGCATCAGTGTCCGAGAACAGGACACCTGATGATAGACCTCTCAGCCGATTGGGCCCGAACGAGTGCACACATGGCGCTACTGGCTGATTCTGGAGTTCAAGAGGGATCGGTTGAGTTTGAGCCAGTGCAGGTTGCAACCGATGGACATGTTGGAGTTGAAGGGCAGTTGGATGAAGATGCTCATGACCCAGCAGCTCGGATCAAGCGTTTATTCGCCTCCCGTCCTTCGGAAAACCCCGAGAGCAATGGCCATGGACCTGGCAACAAGCAGATCAACAAGGACGTTCTGAACGGCCAGCAGGAAACTTTGTCAACATGCAGTACTTCGGCCAGCAAGAAGGGGAAGGGCAAGGGAAAGAAGGCGAACAAGTTGAGCGAGGATCAGATCTACGACATGGACCGGAAGGAGGGCCCGGACACACGGGATCCCCGTTGGGAAGGAGGTCCATGTGCTGGAAAGCATCAGCCAGCACCGATGGGACGCGGCTCCCCCAGCGGCAAGAACGGTTGGGCCAAGTGGACCACGTGCTCAGTGTGCAGGCTTCGTCTGGAGTACATCCCGGCCTTCGGAGCCCACGGTCGTTATCGGTCGGCGGGGCCCCTCGGGCAGGACGTGAAGGATCAGCTGGAGGAGAAGCCGAACGAGATCGCTTCGAACCCAGCCACTTTGAGCACAACGACGGTGGCCTTGGACGGAGCCGAGAGGAGTTTGATGAAGAGGTTGGAGACGATCCGCAAGCAGAAGGAAGTCAATTCGAAGAGCAGGCGGCAACAAAGAAGATGCAGAAGCGGAACACCGACATGACGGCGGAGGAGCTCGAGGAGCACGAGAGCCTGGCGAAGTTGGAGCAGACCGAGAAGGAGGAGTTGGACGAGTGGGACAAGGTCCAGAAGTAGAGGAGGAGGAGGTGGAGGCCACTCAGGCCTCCACCAGGTCCCTCATTTCGGAGAGCTTGGAGAACATGCTGTCTGAGATGAGGGAGTGCGTGCAAGAATTAGGTTCATGTTTTTGTGGCGGAGCCCATTTTGGAGCTCCCCTGGATCCCGGATCGAATAGGCAGATGGACTTGCTGGAGGTGTGTTGCGCACCGGACAGCCTTTTGGCATCTATGGTGAATGTCATGGGCGGTGCTGCTGGACGGGTCACTGAGGCCAACATGAACATCAACACCGCAGCAGGTCTGGAGAGGCAAAGAGATGTGTGAGAACGGAGAAGCCGCGATGGCTCTGGATCTCATTTCCATGTGGGGCTACGAGTCCTTTGCAAAGATTGAACGAGCTGACCCCGGAGGGCTTCTACCGTTCACAGCAGAGAAAGAAGAAGTCGAGACGTTTGGTGAGACGTGGTTTGGAGCTGATCAGGATCCACGTCTTCGAGAATGGAGGTCAATTCGGCTGGGAATGGCCGAAAAAGAAAATGAGGCTTGGGAATGGAAGGAAGTCAAGGACTTTCTGAAGGAGCGCATGAGAAGGTCGGCATCTACAAGACACTTCTACATGGCTGCCGGGTGGGGGTTCAAGATGGATTCGGAAATCCTTTGAAGAAGCCGTGGACCATCTACACTACCTCGAGGACTATGGCATCTTCTTTGAACCTCGAGTGCACCGGTGGCCACACCCATGGAAAGTGTGAAGGTGGATCGGTACCAAAGAGGACTGGTTTCTATACCCAGCCAATGGTGCGGATCATTGCGAGAGAAGTGATGAGACAGCAAGATGCGATGTGGTTTGAGTGCTACCACGCGGAGGAGCTGGTCGCGCCGGTCACGGACAACCCCAAGCAGAAGGCCCCGGTGGAGGAGATTCCGGAGGGTCTCTCCGTGCAACAGTGGCAACGCAGAAAGGACGTGGTCTATCGCCTTCATGTGCGAGCGGGACATCCTTCAGTGCGGGCATTGGTGGCCTCACTGAAATCCAGAGGTTCGCATCCGACAATCGTGGAAGCTGCACGGCAACTTCGATGTGATGATTGCGATGAGACAAAGCGATCCACGCCGGCATCGAAGGCGAGCTTTCATAGAGCTGACACCCTGTGGCACACTCTGCAGGTGGACAATGCGGTTTTCCGGGTGGGTACTCGGACGTACCATATCATGGTGATGGTGGATGAGGCCAGCACTTTCATGGTTCCTCATTTCCTGGCGGTCACGGAGGAGGACGAGCACGAGAATGCAACTGGAGGTCAGGTTGTGAACGCTTTGCAGGAATCGTGGGTTCGTTTCTTCGGATACCCTTCGGTGATCCGTCTGGACCCGGAAGGTGCTTTCAGATCGCGAGTGCTGGAGGAGTACTGCGCATCCCGCGACATAGAGCTGGAACCATGTGCAGCTGAAGCTCATCATCAGATTGGTGTGGTGGAACGTTCTATCGGTACTCTGAGGAAGTCGGTGGAGCGGTATCTGCGAGCTGAAGCTTCCGAACCTTGGGCAGCCATCATGGCCATGTGTGCGGCGCACAACGAGATGGCTCGAGTTGGTGGTTTCAGTCCGTGTCAGTGGGCTCTGGGACGGTCGCCGGGTTTGGATGAGAAGATGCATACTTCCGGACGGGACGGCACCTCCCTCCATGCAGCTCAACGTGATCCTCATGAAGAAGTATCACGCAACCTCGCGGCAGCCAAAGCCGAAAGAAAGAAGTGCTAGCACCTGGGACAATGGTCTACTACAAGCGCTACAAACCGCCCACGACCTCGACTGCTTCGCATAAGGAGGTAGATGTTTCTCGGAGGAACATTGCGCGCTGGTATGGGCCTGCAAGGATTTTGGCGACGGAAACCCGTATTTGTTCAGGCGCTGGACGGCCCGGACATATTATCTGGATCACAGCTGCTGGACGTCTGAAGCGGGTTGCGCCTGAGCAGATTTGGTTGGCCTCTGAGCGTGAGAAGCTTTTGGCGGAAGTTTCGGACCCTGGCATGTTCCCCTGGACCATTCATGGTATGTTGGAGAATGTGGAGACGGGCCAGTTCGATACCTACAATGACATTTTGGGTAGCGACAAAGCCGAGATCACGGCGAAGCGGACGAGGAGCCTCACCACGCAGGTGCGACAGGAACGGATGCAGCCCCCTCAGTCTCGGATTTCTCGCGGTAGGAGTAGAAGTCATGAGAGAGTTGGGGTCGGAAAAGAAAGAGAAAAGACTCCTTCAAGAGCCGAAAGCAGACCCGGAAAAGAACAGAGGACGGAAGAAATCTGTAAGTAAAGCTGGACGGGCACAGCTGGCGCCAGAGACCGCAGGAGCACGGTCAGCCCAAAGAAGTGTTCCGGCTAGTTCTGGTGTTTCCCCTTTAAACCCTAGCCCTAAGGGCTCCCGAGCTTCGCGCCCCGTGCCTAGCCATGGAGCCGACACCGGTGAGTTGGCTTCGAACAAGCAGTTTCAGGACGCTCGTAAACGGCATGAGATCCTGGAAAAGCCTTTGCGTGTGACGTCTCGGAAGGACGCTTCATCCTTTTTGGTTGATGAGCCGGGCATGCCGAGTGGAGGGGACATTATGTTTTGCCTTCATGTGGACTTGCCGGGCAACGCCAAGGATGAGAAGATGTTCAAGCGTGACCCAGCCAGTTGGGTTGCTAAGAAGGTGAAGAAGTCCGCAGAGGTGAAGCTTGAGAACTTGACGGAAAGCCAGCGAGCTGACTTCAAGAAGGCCAAGGATTTGGAGGTATCTCAATGGATCCAAGCAGCCGCGTGCAAAGCTTTAGCAGATGGCAAGGTTGCACCGCGTTCGAGGACCATGAAGATGCGTTGGGTTCTTACCTTCAAGCAATCAGGTGCTGCGAAGGCTCGCATTGTGATTGTTGGGCTCACTGACCCTGATCTGGACACGCTTCAGCGGGCATCTCCCACGATGACGAGGCGTACCCGTCAGCTCATGATGACCATGGCGGCGGTTACAGGCTGGCAGCAATGGAAAGGCGATGCAAAGAGCGCTTTTCTTCAGATGTCGGAGAACACTGAGGAGAGCCGAAGTGTTTTTGCCGTCCCGGTGGATGAGCTGGCAGACGCAATGGGTGTGGAACGGAAACGCGCGGTTCAGGTGATTAAATCTTGCTATGGTTTGGCCAACGCCCCGTTTCAATGGTTCCAGGAGATCAAGGCCACGATCATACGCCTAGGCGGTGAAGTTTTGAAAACGGAGCCATGTTGCTGGAGGATCAGGTGCCCAACTACGAACAAGGTCGTTGGACTGATTGCGAGTCATGTCGACGATTTTATATGATTGGGGATCAGGCAGATGCAGCTTGGACGGATTTTCTTTATCGCTTTCGATGCGCGTATCGGTGGTCACCTTGGGAGTGCGATTTTTTTGAACATTGTGGTGTTCTGCTGCAGCAAGATGCTTCACAGGAGGTCACTTTGGACCACTCGACGTTTTGCACTTCAGTCAATCTCATTGAGCTGGACTCCAAGGAGATGAACAGGCCTATCTCAGCAGGAGAACGAGATCAATTAAGGGCAGTGCTTGGCGCAGTTCAATGGCGTGCTCAACAGAGCGGACCTCAACACTGTGCTAAGTTGGGTCAACTTCAATCGCGGGTGTCGACAGCCGATGTTCAGACCTTGTTAGACGCTAACAAACTTGTGCGTGAGGTATATGCTCAACGTTTTGTGGCGCCAGCAGCAAGGAACTTGGGTTGCGATCCTGCAGAGGTTGAATTTGCATGTTGGAGTGATGCAGCACTTGCGAATCGTCCTGACGGTGGCCGTACAGGCGGTTTTGTGGTGTGTGCTACCTCCCCTGCTTTGAGGTTGGGTCAGCGAGCGAAGTTGAATTTCATCTCGTGGCGGTCGATGAAACTACGACGCGTAGCAAGGTCCAGTTTATCGGCAGAGGTGCAAGCCTTCGGTGAAGGAGAAGAAGAACTGATGTTCTGTCGTTTGGAATGGGCCGAGATGATCGGCCATGAGATCGACCTCCGATCCCCAGAGGCCACGTGCAGCAAGGTCGTTGGCATCATGATCACAGATGCAAAGAGCCTGTATGACGTGGTGCAGAAAGGTCAAGCAAACACCAGTGGTTTGGGACTCACTGTAGGGAGGGTGGGGGGGCCCTCTAAAAGCGGCCTGAATCCCCATGAAACGGCAATAATCAGCAACCAGGGCTTGATTCATCCGGGGTTAGCGTTACATGTTGGATGCGTGTCAAAATTGGGCTCCCCCCAGACAGAAATCGGGCTTGTCCTTCCAGTTTCCCCTTAAACCCACCTTGACAAGGGTGCCGTCAAAACACCTTTTTGGGCCGGTTTGGAAATCATAGTTGCCAGCTGGCTTAGAGGATCCCGTTGTAAGGTGGTTTTGGATGTACCTTTCATGTAACCTTAAGGACAAGTCGGTATGCGCGGAACCCCCGCAAGGGCACTTCGGGCCATTTTTGGGGGCAGCCAGAGGGTATTCCGTTTGAGGCGCTTCAATCCAGTGGGCCCCGTGGAGTTGTCAGCTTCGGGCTGAACATCGGAGCCGGAAAGTCGATGCGCCAAACAGTGAGCATCCTCAAAACCCTCCGGCAATCCTCGGGTTTTGAGGGGTTTGGGTAGCTTCGGCTTCAACAAAAGACTCGTCTCTTCTTCAATTGAGGGGTTGGCGACCATCCGGATTGAACAAGCCCTGTGCGGGACAGCGTTGGACGGATTCAATTGATTGCCTGAAGAAAATCATCGAAATATTGTGGCGGATATCTACATCGGAGTGTGATCAACTTGCTGGTGCTCAGCAGGAAATGAGAAACGGAATGACCCGTATAAAAACCATCCAACTGGTGGTTTCCTTTATTCAGGAATCCCCGAAACGGTTCATTCCCGTATTCCCAACCTATCGCACCAGCACGATAAGAACCACGTTCTGTGTCGAACTCGAGGGCAATCCATCAACGTCGGCATGGCAAGTGGATTCTGCATGGCTCATTTCAAGGCTCTCGAGTTGGACCAATCCGAATTTCAGGAGTTGGCTTTCCGATTGCTAAGCCAACGTCCACCTGGACCCTCAACAAAATCCAACTGAAAAGAGGGTTACCCAGAGGGTCCTAAGTACCCCATAGTTGCGGCTTTGGGTTGGGCTCAAGGGGATTCATCAATTACAGATGCTTCAAATCCTCAAATATGGGGTCCTTGGACCCTCTGGTTTAGAGAGTAGCCCAAATTGTAACGTTCACTTTCCCATTCAATGTCCATTAATTGTGTTTGACAAAATCCCCTTCAAAATGGTTGGTGAATGAATTCCCTTTTTAGAGGCAGTTTGAGGGTTCAGGCAGATTGCCCAAAATCACAGGAACCAAACCATTCCTCAACACAAAGCGAATCGGCCTTTTGAGACATTTTGCTTTGGTCCACTTTTAGTGGCCCCCAAAGGTGATCACCTTTATGTAGGTCCAAACTGGGCCGCTGCAGATATACCCGAACCCTCAAGCTACCAGCTTAAAAACAAGACTTCACCAACCACAATTTTGGGTTGATCTCTAATTCCGATTTTTACGTAAGTTAATTTTGAGTGTCCAGGTCTACCCGGTCCCCCCCCCCCCCCGAGACAGGCAGTAGCCTGCGCCTTGCGATGCAGATGCGAGGAACGGGCTCACAGGCCAGGCGCCCATCGAGCAGCTGACGGCGGGGCACATCTCGCCCTTCAACGACGGCCAGGCGTAGACTTTTGGATCTACATGCTTCTAAAGGCTCCCAGAGCTTCCTCGGCCGTAACTTAGGCCTTCTGTCAACGGCCGGTTTCAACACCCCGTAAGAGCCGTAAAAAGGCCCGTAGAAAGGACGTAAACACCCCGTAAAAGCCGTAAAAAGGCCCGTAAAAAGGACGTAAACACCCCGGTAAGAAGGCAACGTAAAAAACACCCACCCGTGTTTTTCTTCGGCCTCCGTAACTCAGGCCTTTGGACTCCCCTGTTGGCTCATTTGAGCCACGCGGAATCAAAACCGATTCGGGTAGATGAAGGTTAGTAAGGGACGATCCCAACCAGAAATAGCTGCGGATATCCGCCTTCTTAATTCTTGAAGCATGGTTCTGGGTGTACCATCTCAGTACCGGGTCTTGATTATGACTCATTTGAGGTTTATATAGGCTACAAGTAGTACAGTGCAACCTACTAGATGAGCCTTGCGGGAATCGGTGAAGTTTGGGCGCTGCTCCAGGGCCGGACCACGAACAAGGGCCGGGTTGGGGTGTGGGGCGCCAGCAAATCTTGGGTCTCCCCATCCCCCCCTCCCGACTTTTGGGGTCCCTAGCCCCCCCTCCCCACTTTTTGTTGGTTCCACATCTTGGAGACGGTTTCTTTTTTTTGGAGACTGGGTTCCAAATCCCATCTCCCCTTTTGTGGTTCCAAAAGTTGGAGACTGGTTTTTTAAGCCAAATTGGTTGCCCCTATTCCCAAAGCGTCCAGAAGCATGCCCATGAACAAACATCGGCCCAAAGCTTTGGACCCAATTTGGAGGACAAGTCTTAGGTAAATCATGGTGGTTGTATACACCACGCTGTTTTCATGATGGTAACTCGACCCCAGGGTTGCACTTTCAATGAACACTTGGGTATGGGCCCGGTATGGGTCAACATAAACCCACCACGGGACCACAGGTTTTAGTCTTTGGTTCCATTTATCAGGGTTCCATTTTGGGTATGCATGTTTGACCCACAGCCACATTTTGGAGATCTCCAGCAAACTTTGGAGACCCCCCCCCAAAAGCGATGAACTTGAGCCTTGCCAGGGCGCCTTTGCGCAGTTCGACCCTTCCAAGGCGCGAGCGAGCCGACTGAGGTTGCGGGAAGGTAGCCGCCAAGTTTGATTCCCTTCAAGGTTCGGGAATTGACAAAGTCCCGTAGATCTAACGCGTCGGGGTCCTCAACGTTTTGAAAAGGGGCTGCGGGTGATCCTTGTTAGGCTTGTTTTAAGGGGAAAAGAGCAGGAAAGCCACCATTTTGTGGCTTACAAACACATTACATGTGACATAAAGGGCCTGGAGCCCCAAAAGGCTGTTTTTTTGTTCAAAAGGTTTTGCCCCCCAAAAATGGTCATAAGGCCAAATACGCCTTTTGACCGAGAAAAAGTGGCCGTTTGGGGTTCTAGGGGTGTGTATTCACCATGTTCACCAATGGATGAACGGAGGCCAACGGTAGCCAGGCAAAGTAAAAGCACATGAAACAGGGTTCTGGATTTTGACACAATGGCGATGAAAACGGGATTTGGAAAAACAATCATCCGCAGAAGCACTATATAGATCCTGCCTCTGTCGTCAACCTAGCTGCCACATCATTGCAGGTTCATACAGTATACACTTACCATGGCGAAATCACCCGCCATCAAAATCCGGGTACAATGGTGCATCACGAAGACTTCCACTTGCGTAAGTCTTTGTTTGTTTTGTTCAAGGTCCCATGTTGGTTTTGAAGGGAGGCTATCCCTACTAGACATTATGTCTAGCGGTTGATTCCCCCATTCTATTCAACCATCGTTCTTTGCAAAAAGAAAACCGTTTTCCAACTGGGTTTCCGGAGGTTTTCTAGAAAGAATTGGATCCCTGGGTTTAGAATGGAAATGGAAGGTACCCCTGGAATATGTTTAGTTTTGTCCGGGCGTAAGCAAATGGAAGAAGACCTTACTGCGTGCTCTGTTCGCGGGGGTTGTGCCTCCGCGCCTTACGACCTGTGCGCCAAACCGAAAACAAGAGAGCATGGCTGGAAATCGGACATGTTCAATGTACCCCCGTAAGCTCGAAATACCCGGCCTTTTTCTAGGATATGTTTTTGAAGAACCACTTGATCCTTCGAGTGGTGCGGCAAGTTAGAGGTGTTTGATTTTTCAACCATGTGCGCTCAACAAGGGCTTTCTACGTCCCCCAGTGCCCTGTTGGCCCCTTTGTTGGAGGAGGGTTCCCCTGCTAAAATAGACGACAGAAAAAAGGGTACCCTTATTCAAACCTCTCTACTGGCGGACCTAGTGAAAGGTTTTGATTACAAGTCGGGTGGAGTTTCGGAGTGTTCTGTTGCTTACATACAGCTTATACATAGCATGCTGAGGAAGGTTGTAGGTGGTACGGAGGTACACGTGTGCGTACAGATGTAACAGATGGAATTGGATATTATGTATATATACACATATATTAACACATATACCAGTAACGAGACAATGCAAGGAGATATGTGCAAGGCCTCATGCAAATGCTAGATAAGTTCCTCACATCCGAAATCAAACCTGGAAAGTCTCTTGATTATTACTGCCTCAGCAACTTTATAAACACAAAAAAGTCGCGCTGTAGTAGAAACAGTCGCTTAGATACTGGATGCATGAGTTTTGCGTACCACCTCTATATAGAGATACTGTGTCTCTATGTTTTACATGTCAATCAGCATATACCCGTACTGTCATGTTTCATTTGCATTGAAGCTATGGCTCACCCATCCAGATCCCTGGACCATACCCCTTCCCTGAAAACCCAAGCGCAACCCACCAATCCACACACCGTTCCCCACCTAAAGAAGACCGTTCCACCTAAAGAAGAAGAGCTAGAAAGCTCCCAAAACCCTCCAAGACTTCCCAACCCCCCACCCCTTTTTGCTGGAAAGCTTCGCACTTGGCTTCCATGAAGTCATCTCGACCTCCCCCTGAAACCTTCGCACTTGGCTTCCATGAAGTCTCGCGTCACAGGAGCTGGGCGCGTGCCCTCCCTTGGGCTACTGGGACCCCTTCGGCATGATGGCCTTCCAGGAGCTCGGAACCGCGGGTGAAACCGTGGGCCTTACGCGATGACCGACCTAGGTCCTGAGCAGGCGATCGGTGCCCCCAGCGATCGGTGCCCTTTTTAAGCCCCTTTTTTTTGGTGGGGAGGGTCCACAAAAAAAAAGGGGTAGCCTTATTCTATCCTCCAAATCTGGAGGACCTAGCAGGAATCCTTCAAGGATACATCGAAAACCACCCGCTTGGCAAGGGGATCCTCTAAGTCAGCTGGCGGGGGCGGGAATTTCTAGGCTGGCCCGCGTGGGTGTTTTTTTTTGAGGGCACCCTTTTTAAGGCGGGTTTAAGGGGAAATCAAAAGGGCGCGCCCCCGATTTTTTGGGGGGACCCCGATTTTGATGCGGACCCACCGTGTAATGTTGACCCCGGAAGAATAAATCCCCAGAGTATCAATAGGGGGTGTCCAACTGGGTTTAGTGGTTGGGTTCAGACGGGTTCATTGATCTTTTGGCAACATTACTTTGCCTTGGAGGAAAATTAATCTCTCGGAAGGGTGTCCTCGCTTCGGGAGTTTCCGTTTTCGGGCTTGAGACAATTTAAAGGCACGCAACAAGTACTACTACTACTACTACTACTACTACTGCTACTGCTACTACTACTACTACTACTACTCCTACTCCTACTCCTACTCCTACTCCTACTCCTACTCCTACTCCTACTCCTACTCCTACTCCTACTCCTACTCCTACTCCTACTCCTACTCCTACTCCTACTACTCCTCCTACTGCACTACAACTGCTACCGCTGCCGCTGCCGCTGCTACTGCTACTGCTACTGCTACTGCTACTTCTACTGCTGCTGCTGCTGCTGCTGCTACTTACTGCTACTTACTGTTGTTTCTATCATCGTCACTGTCATCATTGTCGTCGTCGTCATCGTCATCATCGCTGGTACTAAGTGTCCTTCCATCTACTTGTGCCACAGCCCGCACTGCCTCGGAAACGGAGGAAGGGTTCCAGCTTAGTCAAGCCGACTTTTCTTTTCAGGTTGTTGGCTGAAGCAAACATATGGGTGGCTCGTCTTTTCTGGGGGGACCCAAAATGGTTGGCATTCCTTTTGGCTTCCTTTTAGAACCCACCAACAACGGGAACCCTCAAAAAACGACAGTATTACTCGATTCTCTTGGCGCACGGGCGGCTCCACAGAATTCGGCTCAGAGACTAAGCGAAGGGCAGGCCGCGGCCGCTCGAGGCCGCTTCGGCCATGGCGAGCTTTGATGCGCGCGACCACTTGCACGCCTTGCCTTCGCAGGGCTGCCACATCCGAGTCACTTCAATTTGCTTATAATAATATATGTCGCATTTTCCTTTGTCGGTTTTAAAAGAGCTTATACAAGAATATGACGTCCATTTGCTTAATAATATATACTTATGTTATTTTCCGTTTAAAGGACGTTTCTCACTCTTGGACATATGTTTTTTGTTTTTTTTCAGGGAGGGATTTCGACCCCTGGAGATCTCCATTTAGGGCAACCCATTCAAGTTCTGTAAGGGAATTCCTCCCACTTCATTCCATAGTCACCTTGGGAGGAAGTGGGATTCCTTTTGTGGGGAAGACTGAATAAAATGGGAGTTGTGGGACCCCCCTCTTCCCCTTAAGGTAGGGGGGACGGTGGGCTTGGCAAGTTAAGGTCAGCGTCGGGACGGGCGACCTGGACTTCCCCATCGCCATCTCCAACGCAGCCCTGTGGCGCATGCCCGAGCTCGAGGTGGAGCCTGGGATCCCATGGCTTCCAAACCGTGCGGTTTGGGGTCGGCGCAACCACTTGTTTGGGTTCGGCTTTTAAGGGAAACCGAAGGAACACCGAAGGGCCAGTTTGGGGGAGACTCCTAAACAATCCCAAACCAATTGTTTGGGTTTTGAGGTTGGGCAACAACTTGAACCAGAATCTGGTCACAAGTCTACGTTGTGCCAACCAGAGTTGGGCAATAAGAAACCAGACCTGATTCAATCTGATTTTTGGTGGAAGTGACAAGGTTCCAAGAGACCTCTCTCCGGAAATGCAATTCAGACTTTGGGATGCCCGGTGCATGGACAGCATGATAGAACATGCTTTCTGCTGAGACTTCTTGAAGTGCCCGGTGCATGGACAGCATGATAGAACATGCTTTCTGCTGAGACTTCTTGAAGTTGGGCCAAGTAAAGCAAAGAGTTCGGGCGCTGGCTGGGTTCCAAGGACATCTATGACTGGAAACATCTTATTTGTTTTGCCAGGGGACGAAAAAGCAAATGGAGGTTGCCTACCTAAGGAGTTTGTTTCATCCAAACTGGTGTACCTGGACCCTCAAAATTCCCTTTAAACATGGGCTATCGTAGCCCACACTTATGGGTTGAATTCCCTTTTTTAGTGGCAGTTGGAGGGTCGAGGTGCCACTTCAAACACAGCGACGAGCCATGTGAAGCCGCTGGTTTTTCTCTAAGGAGCAGGGCAGTCTCCAACACCAGGGCTTCCAGGGCAGCCTGCGGCTCTTTTTGGAGCGCGTGCAGCGAGAGGTTGAAGAGGCGAAGGCGCGGTACCCGGAGAGCGCGTGGAAGCTCGGCATTTGTTGGAGAACCTTTTTTTTCCAAGGCAAATGCCTCCTTTTTTAGTAGAGGCTCGACCCATCATACCAACTAAAAAAAGCGGGTATTTGGAGTCGGGGGTTAGGCCCTAGGCGTCCTTTTCATCGCATAGTTTGGGTAAACAATTGCGAGCTCGCCGAGGGTATATCGAGCTCACCATGATAAGGGCCCTTTACTCGGGGATCCCTTAAATAGGCTTTTGGACAAAAGTAGACTTTTCAGATAAGTGGGGTCCACTGGTTTAAATGGGCTTGATGCCATCCATTTACAAGGGCCATCTATTTGTCCAAAAAGTCATCTGTGGTTTGTTCCGTTTCGTCCATTTAGCAGGTAACCCTTCGATCCATGCTCAACTTGTTTTTAATGGGTGTTTCCTTTGTTACCTACAAAACGGGCTAAATGGATCCACGGACTTGTTTAAAACAGGGGTTCCGAAACCATGTCTCAGCTAACTTACTTGTTGGTTTGGATTTGGATGCCGCAAGTTGTATTTGGCCTGCTATGTTTTTTTCGCGGCGTTCCTCCAAGTCCTTTTTGTCAAGCTGGGTTTCTCTTCCATTTCCCTTTCAGGAACCCAGCGTTTCTGTTCGTCCTTGTTTTTGCTGGTTGTTCTGCACCCAAAACGAGGGACTACAACTCAGGTCACCCTTTCCGCGGTTTGGATTGGTGGCTTGGATTTGGATTTGAACCTCTGGCTCTTATCCACCAAAGCTCCAAAATCCAGTCCACAAAGAGGCTGCCTCCGTGTCCCGGTTTAAACAGGGTTCTCTCCATTTCCCTTTTTGGAACCTCCAACATGTTGTTCTTCGGGAGGTTTTAGGCATCCCTGAATTGGTGGTTTGGATCCTCAACAAATCGCTTGGCTTTCCCTTTGGTTGTTTGGATTGGTGCCACTCTACAGGGGAAGCCTCAACAAATCGCTTGGCTTTCCCTTTGCCCTTTAGACCGCAAAACTGGGTATCCTCCAAAAGACACATATATATATATATATATAAATTACCTTTCCTTTTTGAGAACCTCAGAAAGTGGTTCGAACTCCCTTGGAAATCAACGACAAAGCCTTGCAAGGGTGGTAGTGCATGAGGTTGAGGATCTTCCAAGGTCCAGCGGGTTGCTTCCCGTTTTCCATTTTGGCTGTTTGTTTGAGTTTTAAAAAAAGACGAGCCACCCATAAAAAGGGGACACCCATATAGCAAGTTGGGTAGCTTCCCCATTCTTTCCAGGGATCCTTTCCAGAAAGCCACCAAAAGCCCTAAGGAAACAACTGTGGATTGAAAAGAACCATGTTTGAAAAGAAGGGGAATCAGCCCCGAGAATAAAGCAAGGTGGGGAGTTTTTGGGGTTGTTGTTTTTGGTTTGGCAGGGGATTTCCCTTTGACAAAACAAACTCCCAACACGAGGCGCGCTGATTCCTAAGCCCCCGAAATCCACGGTCCGAAGCCCGGGACTACCTGGAGTTGCCCTAAGGACCCTTTAAAAATGGTTGGTCATTACCCAAAATGGCTCTGGTTGTCAAAAATCAGTATTTTAAATGGCTTGCCCTGGTAAGTGGAAACATGGACCAACACCTGCGGTCCGATTCCTGGTTTAATTTTGACCCATACCCAAAATAATGGTTGGTTATGGACCCATTTTTATTTCGGGTCATGGAGACTCCAGGTAGACACAAGAGGAATCCACCAAACGAGGGATCTACCCGCGTCATGTTTCCCGATTTGCTTCCCAGTGGCCCTCTAAAACGCTTGGCCTATGGACAGGACAACTCAGGGCTTCATCGGGTGTGCCGCTTCCGTTACATGTTGCTTTTCAAAGGTCCGTTTGGTCACCAGTTTGGTCTCCCGCACCTTTTGAGAATTTGAGTGGTTTAGTGGGGCCCGGGTTTCCGAATTGAACCCACTAAAAGTTAAAACAGGGGATCTAAAAAGAACGTGACAATTCAGGGTTTAGTAGGGGTTTTGATTTAACCCACCAAAAGTTTCATTTTTCGCCGATCAGAAAACAGGCAGCGCAACCTGTTGCGCTCAGGAAGAGTTTCGACCTCTTTTTGCGGCGCCTGGAGGGGGTGCTGGCGGGTGACTCGGGAAAGCTGAGCTTGGAAGTGCGGGACCCCTCCGGTCTTCCGGCGGCAACCCGTGGTTGTCGACCTTTTGCTCCGTCGATTCGGGAGCAATGTTCGAACGTGTAGGGGTTTTGGTGTCCAGTGATGGCGCCTGGTGTTTGTTGGCTGCGTTTACCTGAACCCTCTTAAAAGGTGTACCTGAAAAAGGGAATTCACCCCATAAACTTTGGGGCTATAGCCCATTTTCAATGGAATCTTGAGGGTTGAGGTACTTTTTTCGGCGGTTCTGGGCTTCCCTTCGAATCAACTCAGAAAAGAGTGCCACGGTTTTTCCCCGCTGAGGCCTTAGCCACGTTGATGCCGGACTGTCGCCAGAGCTCAACGCCTTCGAGCGCAGCGTGAGGGAAGATTCTTGGATGAGAACTTCAACTTTCATTGAGGTTGACTATGACTTGGATTTGCTTAAGAATGTTTGTTATTGTCCCTTGTTGGTTTTAAAAGGAATTCATCACTATGCTCTGGAAATATTCTTCATTTTTTCCTGGGGGCTTCAGCAAATGGAAGATAAACATGAAACACTTTGAGGTCAGAATGTTTTTTTGGGTGTACCCAGCTTCTGCGCCAAGACACATGGCTGTGGCTCAAAAACAGGTACTACAATTTGACAATGGACAGAGACTGAAACCTGCGTAACCCCACCTCTTAAATTTTGAGCCACGCCCGCATGAGCCACAATCAAAACCCGGGTAGATGAAGGTTAGTAAGGGGCAGTCCCAGCCGGAAATAGTTGCGGCCACCTTCTTTGTTCCATTTTTGTACCACGTTTTGATTGTGACTCACATGGTTTTATTTGCGTGTCCCCAATTTTTTGGTGCGCAACCATGGCAGGATTGGTCCTTGGGAGTTGACTACCCTCGCCCACGTCAGCGCAGCGATGCCAAGTCTGTGGCGCGGCTGGTGCAAAAGTCCTCGCGAATCTTCCATGTGCTTAAGTATGTTTCGACAATGCGTTGAGAATATGAGAGTGTTGTTGAAAGAGTGTTGTGAATATGTTTTCCCATTTTGAATGTTTATACTCTTTTCTTGCTGTTGGGTTCAGAATATGCGTTATTTGCCCTGCTTCAAGCGTATTTGTGTTTAGTCGCTGGATGGTGTCCTTTCCTTCCATTCGCTCAAGAATATGTTTTACAGTCACCAGGTTGTAAAGGGAGTATACACTTGCCAGATTTTCCCCGTTTTCCCTGGGGGGCGTGGCGAATGGCCAATGGAAGGAATTGTGGCGCTCACTGGCGCCGGCATTTCCGTGGAGTCCGGCCTCACACCCTTCCGCAGCGGCGACAAGGGTGGGGCGATTTGGAAGGAGTTCGATCCCCAGCAAATGACGGCGCTCTGGTCTCGGAATATGCTTTTAGTTTTGTTTTTGTTTGCATTTGTTGCTTTTGCATTTTGAGGCTGAGGTCTGAAAATCACATGGGAGTGTCTTTAAATAGGGCACGAAACCAATCTTGTGGTTTGCCCTTGGGCTTTCCTTTCCCAAAGCGTCGCTCGGAGGTCAAGAACTTCAACAACGACCCAGAGGTGAGGGCGGCGTGGTGGTCGCTGGAGCGGAAGCTGCATCGCGAGATCTCGGCCGCAGAGCCCAACCCCGGCCACAGGTTCTTCGGGATGCTGGAGCGGCGGGGCAAGCTCCATGCGGTTATCACACAGAACCTCGGTTTCCGGTGGACTTCTCGCGCCCTCAGTTGCTGCCTGAAGTCTCCCTAATTTAAAGATGGGGTCATGACCCTTTCTTTTTGGTAATGATCCCATTTTGTTCAGGGTCCTTAGGGAGACTCCAGGTGGACCTGAAACTTTTGGATGTTGGACTATGTTTGTGGCACACCGAAAGTTTAGGCTTGTTTTGGCCCGTCCCCTCAGGAAGTGAGAGTTAGATTTCATGAGGTATGCCACTACAGCCGTAGCTTTTGGAGGTTTACCGGTTTACCTGAATTCTCCATGACCCTTCAAAAATGGGGTCATTATAGTCGGGTCATGAACCAATTTTACAAAAAGGTCAAAGAGACTCCAGGTAGGTTTAAAGGGAAACCAAAAGGAACACCCCCAAAATGGAAGTCCCCAAAACAAGAGCATTTGAGCCAAGGAACATCGATTCTCTGCACCAGAAGGGAGGTGTGAGCGACCGCAAGATGAATCAGTGCCAGACTTACCTTACCCAGTGAATCCAGTTACCTATATATACCATCATGTAGAACCGTGAGGTAAAGACACTTGGTTTGCCTACTATAGTGGTAACTGGGAGCACTGGGTTACCTTTTTTGTTGTTGTTTGACTTCTCGCCTCTTTGGTTTTCCATCATTTTACTGTTCAACTAGCTAAAAGTCAATCTCTTTACAGTCTCAGTTGTTCAGTGGCACCCTTTCTCCCCTTTTTTTTGGTGGCTGCCCTACTAAAAATGGTCCAAGCCAAAAAAAAGGGTTCCCTCTCTTTGTTTTTCCAGGATCACTGAAGAACTGAGCAGGGGGATCTCAGTCTGGTCAGGAACGAACTCCACGGCCACATGCGAACCATCATTTGCGCTGACCAACGAACCAGGCTCAACCCGGAGGTTTTCGGAGAAGGACCGTCCTCAAAAAGGCGCCATAGTATGCTTGGTGGCTCCCGAAGGCCATGCGCTTCCACTTAGCTTCTTAGATCCTTCTTTGGGTTTAGTGGTTGGATTTCCGAATTACACCCACTAACAGTTGAACTTTTAGCGGGGGATCTGAGGGCAGCCCAGTATGCTTTGTTGCTATTTGATAGCGGATCAACGGATCTTTGCACTTGTTGGTTGAAACAGGCCGGGTTTTCCTCTGTTGGACCCTATAACAAGTTGTGTTTCACCCACAATAAGTTGGTTTTTGCAGAAAAGTGAACAGCAACCAAGTATGGGCCAGTATGGGGTGTGTGTCTCAAAGGGGGACCCAAGTGGTGGTCCTTGTGGTTCCCCTTTCCAACCCCAACAAGGGTACCCGGAATCTCCGGTCAGGACCCTTGAAGAAAGGGGGGGAGGAGACCCAAGCATTTTGGGTAGACCTCACAATTTAAGGGTGGGAATCACAGGTGTCCTTGTTAGGTTCGTTTTGTTGAACAGTTTACCTCGGTTGTATGCCATCCGTTTACCAGGGAAGCCCGACTCTATGTTCAACCCAAAGGACCTCTATGAGCAGAGTACATGGGCCTGTATGTAGGAAACTGAGGAGCTCATGTCCCCTTTTTCCTGTCCAAATGGATACCCAAGGGTTCCCTTTTTGGCTTCATGGCTATTTGGTAACGCTTTAACTTTTTGGTTGAAACAGTCGTCCGAATTAGACTCACAGAAGCAGACACTTTTTTTGCAGAGGGGTCAACAGCAACCAAGTTGGGTGGTTTCACCACCGCTGTTCAACCGAATTTCCTCGGGTGATGTTTCACCGGGCTGCCCTTGACACACCCATATATGAGTCATACTCAACACCCGGTATTAAAATTGCCTACCCAAAACCACTTACAGAATTACAAGGGCGGATGTTTGCTACCATATCTCGGGTTATGGATGAGGGTTTCCAACACTTTTGTTTGAACCGCCAGGTTGTTGATGGTGTGTCTTGTGTTGGGGAACCGCCTTCTGGCCACTTTGAAGGGAAATCAACATCCAACCACTCATTTTAGGGGGCTTCCGTCATACTCCCCGAGTGGATCCCAGTTATCCACCTAGTAGATAACCAGCTATTTTCCTTTTGGTTTCAAAGGGTGGTTTGCTTGGTTGCCAACAAAACCCGGTCAACAATGGATCCACAGGGTCCATTTTGAACCGGCCGGCAAATATGGGGAACTATTCTAGGGGTTGATTCCCCATTCTTTTCAACAATCCTTCTTTCCAAAAACCAGCCTGGAAAGAATGGGGAATGTAGCCCTAGAGTACTTGGTTGCTGTTCACTTCTCTGCAAAAAACAACTTGTTGTGGGTCCCATTCGGAAAACCCGGCCTGTTTCAACCCACAACTAGAGCTATAGTGCCCTGCAGGAGTCTGCGATTATTCGGCCGGTGGCATGGATCAAGTCAGCGATGCTGCTGTGCCCCTGTGTCCCAAATGCACAGCTCCACTTCGCTCGGAGACTGTGACTGGGTTGACAAAAGAAAAGGGCCAGAGCTGCTGGGTCCCCAGTAGTGTCCTTTTGCCCTTTTGCCCTCAGTTGTTCAGTGGCACCCTTTTCCTTTTTTTGGGGGGGAGGGTCCAGAACCCGCCAAATGACGTTCGCCGGCAGTAAGCAAACAAACACAAATCATGCCCGTTGTTGGTGGTTTTAAAGGAAAGCCAACAGGACAACCCGCCATTTGGGGGGTCCCAATCCTGAAAAACACAGACCCTTCTTATACTGAGTCTTCCTTGACTGCTATTGGGTTGGATCTTTAGACTTTAACCTTTTTTAAAATAAAGGTGTTTTCCACTAACCCCCCCCAAAAAATTAAACCTTTTGCAGAGGGGTCAACAGCAACCAAGTCTTCCATTTGCTTCAAAATGGATATTCTTATTATTTCCCCCTGCTGGTTTTGGTGCAGGTTGATTTTGGCAGGTGATGTTCGACCAGGCAATGCCAGATGGGGCAGTGGAGAGCGCGCGCGAGGCTGTGATTGGTGCCGCCCTCAGCTGGGAGGAAGCTCCTGGGGGCTAAGGAGCTACCAGTTCTGTAAGAACATGGTAGTTAGGGCTCAGCTGACTAGCTGACTGCCATCAGCTGGCTTCTGGCTTGACAACCAAAAATGAACCTTGCAAATCCCCACCATGACTGAAGGGTAATATATATATATATATATATGTATGTATATATATATATATATCAGAAAAAAACATGGATAGTTTCCATGTTCGTTTCAACCTTGTTACTTCAGAGCCTCCGGAGATTTCTTTGGAAGCGCCCAAATGGCCGAGCCCCTGGGCTCGCTTGAAGCCCCGGGCGGGCCAATGGAGGGAGTCTGCACAAAAACGATACGAACATTTTAGCGGCAAAACGTCTGACAATGCGATCGGCTTAACGGGGATCCTTAAAGGAAATCTCCATGTTGCAAGCATTTGAAACATGTTGCTTTTTCAACACCAAAATAGAGAAATGGAAACCACCATTTACAAGTTGCAATGTGCAGGTGTATAATGTAAGGATCCCTGCTTAACATTTTGAGATCTTCATGGCAAAAAGAATCCTAAAGCTTGAATGGCTGATTCAATGATTCTATTAGATTCAGAGTAGCTGCGAGTAGCTGCCACTTCGTGTAGACTACTTGTGTGCTAAACAAAAACAAGGCGAAATTTACAGCCGCTCCGAGAGAGGGTCCTTGGCTTCCTACTTTTGTTCCCAGAAGTTGCGAATTCTTGGGAGTGCACTTCGTGTACTACCCCAGGGAGTCCAAAGGCCTGAGTTACGGAGGCCGTTTAAACACGGAGGTGTTTTGCGGCCTTTTACTGGGGTCTTTACGTCCTTTTTACGGGCTTTTTACGGCCTTTTTTTCTGGGTGTTGAAACCGGCCGTTGACAAAAGGCCTAAGTTACTCGGGCCGAGGAAGCTCTGGGTACCTTTGCGCTTAAAAGTCGCGATCTTCGAATTTCGAGCCGGAAACCTCTTCTTGTACTTCTTTTGTACTGCCGGAGCTGGGGGAATGTACTCCGCGAACTACTTGTGTAGTTAGATCTGCGAATTTCGAGCAAGAGCTGCGGGAGTGCGCTTCGCGAACTAGTTTTTACGTAAAGATTGCTCCTCACGGGCCCTACCTGCCCCACCCATAAACTTCGAGGTCCCCCAGTAGTGCCCTTTTGGGGAGGGTTCCCCTACTAAAATGGACTACAGACAAAAGTTGGTAGCCCTCTTCTAACCTCCAAAACTGGAGGACCCAGTAGTGAATTCCGCCTTTGGTTCAACTTTTTGAAGAAGGGTTCCGATTCCTTTTGTACTCGACCAACCAGAAAAAGTCGGATGCATCCTTATTTTTTCTCCTATGGAATTCCACTGGACCTAGATGAACTTCCACCCGATGAACTTCCACCCCCTTCACCTTTCCCCCCCACCAAAGCGCCCCCCATGAACCACCTCCCCCGTCCCCGGCCTTAACCCGCCCCCCATGAACCCGGCCTTAACCCTCACCCCACCCACCCACCCCACAGCCCCGCTATGAAACCCGAGGTGAGCCACAATCAAAACCCAGGTAGATGATGGTTAGTAAGGGATGATCCCAACCAGAAATAGCTGCGGATAGCCGCCTTCTTAATCCTGTACATGGTTCTGGGTTCACAAATGTTGTACTTTTGTAGCGATCGGTTTTCATTTCAACTCAGGTGCCGATCTGCTCATTGTGGTTGGCTCCACTCTCATCGTGGCGCCTGCCAACGAGCTCCCCGGCGAGGCTCTGCGCCGCAACACGCCCGTGGTCTTGGCGACCTGGCGAGCCGACCGGGGGTAAACCGGGCCGCGGGTTTTACGTAGCTTCAACTCATGGAATCCGGTTTTTAAGGGAGTTTTGAGGCTGCAGGAACCCCAAACAAAGATGCATTTTTCCTAAAAGGATTCTACAAAGAGTGGTTGTGTTGATTCCATGTTAACCTGTAGTAAAGCATGCGAGGCATGTTGAGTGCGTCTTCTTTTTTCGAGGCCACCTGTTCGTTTGTGGTTTTAAAGGGAAAACTAAACGGAAAACCGTGGGGACCCCCCTAAACAACACACACCCACACACCTAGACGTTTTGTACGTCTGGAGTCTCTAGAAGGACCCCTGCGCCAGAAAAGTGCACTTCAGGTACAAATTGTCCTGCTGTCCCCTGGATGGCTTCAGGGGAAACCAAAAGGAGGAAGGAATCGCTCCCTGATTTTAAGAAACTCCCAAATACCCACTTTTTCTAGGGCTACCCTAAAAAAAGGTAGGTATTTGGAGTAGGGGGTATGGGGGTTTGATCAAAAGGTCCTTGCAAGGAGTTGCGTATTCGGTGGCCGTTGGTGTTTGCTCTAACTCCCTCCGCGAAAGATCGGGGTGCGCGAAAGGCAGCGGGAAGTTTTTTCGGGGGTTGACTTCATTTTGCGGAATGGCCGCTCCAGGTTCAGTTGGTTCGGTTTTGTTCGTCGCACGTTGAGGGGTTGAGGTGAACAAAAATCATATAAAGTCAAGACAAAAGGCGCCTGGCAGCTTTTGGTTTTCGACTTGTTATATGTTCTTTGCAAAAGATCTGAAAGCTTAGTGGGTAGGTCGATAGGCCTGTGTTGGAGTTTGGAGTTTGTTTGGGAAGCCTGGAGGGAAGGGTTCCCTTGAAAATCAACCAACGGTGTTTTCCAAGCCAGGAACCATGATAATTGTAAGGGGTTCCTCACCTCCGTCGTAAAATAGGGATTTGCATGGGTGGCGTTTTTAGTTTATGTTTGGTCGTGCCATTTCTTCTTCGCCTTGGAAATCCGCTTGAGGTGAACTTTGATGAGACTCGCTACGACGACCATGTCCACGTATTGGTGCGGCAGCCTGCGGGCAAATTCTTCGCAGAAGTTGCAGACATCTTGTCCGGTCCGGTTCTGTCCGATGGGGAGGACACGGATGAGATCTCACAGCTTCCGGATTCTGCTCCTCCTGAGGTTTCCGCCTGGCCAGTTGCCACCTGGCTAAGTTGGAACCCCCTTAGTGGTTGGTGGACACAAGTTTAACCGAAAAATGAGGTCCAACGGCCCAAAATCGAAAATTCAATCCCAACATGACATAGGAAAATGCAGTTGTTATTGAGGCGTTCTGGGTGTTTTTTTTAGCAACATAATATGAATATACCCCTTACACCCAATACCCACCTTTTTTAGTCGGTATGATTTGTCGACCCTCTACTAAAAAAGGGATCAGTATTTACCATGGAAACCCTGGTTTTTCAAAAAAATGTATTTTTGGAAAACATGGTTCTTCAGGGTAAATACCTCCTTTTTTTGTAGAGGGTCGACATGATACCCCAAAAAAGGCCGGGCGTTTGGAGTCGGGGGTAATGCCTTTTTCCCATGCAAATCCACTGGGCCGAAGGCTGCCTCGGAGAGCAGCGGTGATGAGCAGCTCTATGGTGATGACGACCTCTGCTAAAAGCCGGTGGCAGGCGGTGTACAGTGTACAGCTGGTTCTCACATACCCAGCGTGTTTCGTCAACCTGGAGTCTCCATGACCCTTTAAAAATGGGTCCATGACCCCATTATTTTGGGTAATGACCCCATTTCTGAAGGGTCATGGAGACTCCAGGAAGGTAAAGTTTAAGTTTTCATATGTGAGTTCTTTGGGTAGGTGAGGGTTTCGTTTTCCGCCTCAGCCGTGAACGGAGAAAAGGTCCGGGTGGTTGGGGGAGAATGTTCTCGCAATGATTCTCCAGCAACTATTGGAACAGTACAAGAGGTGAAGGGGGCGACATGGGAGAAAACTCTTCCCAAGCCAGCGCAAATCAACTTCGCGAATGTACATTTTTCCAGGAATGCAACTGCGTAACGCCGTTTATCCTAATTGTACGTATTTTACCAGTGGATAGCTCTTGGAGATATGCTCTTTGAAGTCGTCTCTGCGGTTTCATGATATATGAACACAGTTGGGCTACTAATCCCATAGTCTCCTTCGAGAATGCTCCATGCGTTGTGTTTGGTTCATTTGTCGAATCCGCCCGCGGGGTTGTTTCTTAATTACCTGAACTTGGCAGATGAACTGGTCTCTGAATGAGAACATACTTGCATGTGGCCTTGGTTCGTGTGGTATGTTAGCAAGTACCCCTTCGGCATTGTTGCCTCCAGGTGTATCATGGACGATTTTCCAGGGATCCTTCAAAGATACATTTTGCAACCATTTGAAACATGGCTTTTTCCACCAAGAGAAAGGGAAACCACCATTTAAAAGGCAATGTTCAGGTGTGTAATGTAAGGATCCCTGTTTTCCTTGATCTGTCGTGGCGAAACGCCGGGAAGCACTGGGTTCCTTTCTTTTGGTTGCCCTAGGTCAATGACTTCGACCAATTCCTCAGGGGCCCATAGCTCTTGTTGAAGCTCCGAAACAGTCGGGAGGTTGTGAGTTCTCCGGGAACAAAAACTTTAGGAGGCAAAAACGAGGTTTTGATCTGGACCCATGGGACAGTTTGACGTCGGAGTTCCCTATGGGTCAAGCAACCCAGCCCGACCCTGGCCAGCACCTTTGAACTTTGTTTTCCTTGGGTCTGGGTTTCAAAGTCCAAACGGACCTTTGAAAAGGGAATTCAAAACGAGTCATTTTGGAGTAGCCCCGTTTTAACCTGTACCTGGAATCTCCATGACCCTTCAAAAATGGGCCCATGACCAACCATTATATTGGGCAATGACCAACCATTTTTTAAGGGTCCTTAGGGAGACTCCAGGCAGTTCGAGGGTCCAGGCACCGACGAAAACGAGCCCCTTTCTTTTCGGAGGACGAGGAGAAGTTCCGCAAGAACCGAGAGCTGGAGCTGAAGCACGGCCGCATCTGCCGCTCGGCGCAAACGTGTCCCGAGAATCAGCTTTTCTCGAAGTGGTTTGGATTGGTTTGGAGGTGGGGCGGGGAAACCCCATGTACCCCCTACAAGAACCAGGGGTCCAAATCCACATCCATTGGTGGATTGGAGGTTGGGGTGGTTTCCCATGTACCTTACAATCTACAACATTCAGGCGTTTCCCATTTACCCGAGAAGAACCTGGGATTTCCCATTTACCCTGCAAGAACCCGATTTTTTTTCCATTGCCACCCTAGAAAGGATATCCCACTTCCCTACCAGAACCACCGCGTAGCTCCAAGAACCAAGGGTTTACATCCAAATCCAGGCGGACCTGAGAGAAGCGCTTGTGTGGTCTGAGAAGGATGGCTCAAACTCGTCGACGCCTCGACGAGTTGATTGTTTCCGGCCGAGGGAAATTTGGGGGTTGGAAGCTTCAGGGAACCCCAGGCTTGATGCTATTGGGTAACGGACCTTTAGACTTTAACTTGTTTGTTGAAGTCAAGGGACCCGTTTTCCGAACTGAAAAAACAAATCAAAAAAGAAGAAACGCTTGTTGCAGTGGGGTCGACAGCAACCAAGCAGGGAACCCTGGAAAACCTCAAGGAAACCCTGGCAAAACTTGGGTGAGTCTTAGCTTCAATTTGCGCTCAGCTGTTTTGTTTTCATATCCCCCCGTTGGTGTTGAAGAACATCTATCACTGCGATTTTTGTTTTTCTCCGGGGGACGAAAAAGCAAGTGATTCGGTCTGCGGGACCACGTGTGGGTTGATCAAAAGCTCCTTGACATGGGATGACCATTGGTTGGAAGGCCACCGAAGAGATTTGATATGTTCACCTGGGAAAAGTTTTACCTCTGGTCATGTGGGGGCCCTAAACGGGAAGATTGATCAACCCCCCATTTGTGCCCCTTTCAACCAACCCGCAAAAGCGTAGCAACTCGAAAAAACATCCCTGGGACCGAAGTGGGTTGCTTTTGTCTTTGGATCCTTCCCCAGAATTAGCGCCCCTGTTTACATTTTTGCTTTTTTTCCCAACAGCTGACAGCTTTGGGGTCTCAGCCCAGATAGGCTCCGGGGTGGTCCGGGGCGGCCCTGAGGTAAGGTTCCACGAGGGTTCCACCAGGGTTCCACCAGGTTCCACCAGGTTCCACGAGGGTTCCACGAGGTTCTGCGAGGGCTGCGGGGTGCCGCATGCTGTTGGGGATATCACCTGAGCTTATTGGGGGTCCCTTTGTTTTCCACCTTTTCCAAGCAATCAGTATCTCAATTTGTTTCGCTGGGGTCCTAATTCCAGCCTAGGATCCCAGAGCTTCCTCGGCCTGAGTAACTTAGGCCTTTTGTCAACGGCCGTAAACACCCCGTAAGAAGGCCGTAAAAAACCTCCGTGTTTAAACGGCCTCCCTAACTCAGGCCTTTGGACTCCCTGGGGATCCTGAAACCCCCCACGCCACGTGTTTGGCTGAGGCATGGTCGCCACCATCGGCATGATCGTCCCCGACCTCTTCGGCCGCTTTGGCGGATACCTGTCCCCGTCCATGAACCTGACGCTTGGATCGGATCGGATGGAAGAGTTGGGGCGTTTTTGGGCGTGACGTAATGTGGGTGTGGCCCAAAA